TACAGTTTACCATCAAGATGAGCAGCATGCAAGAACATATTTGAAGGCAGGTAGAATACATTTTGAGGGCCTGTGATAGAACATGATGGTTTAGGACACTGTGCCTGTGGCCAGCAAAACTTTTTTTTTTTTTTTTTGTCAGAAGCAGAAAGCAGTTTTGGAAACCCTGGCTTGCAATTTCTTGTATGCAGATATGCTGTGCTCCCTGTGCAGACTTACACAGCTTTACTGGGGTGAGAGAAGATATTTTCTTTTTGGTATTTGAAGGAGTATCTTCAAGAGATTTTTCAAATAAAGGCATGATTAAATGTCAAGGCTTCTAAGAGAGACCTATGAGCTGAGAAGGTCCTTTAGGACTCCTTGAAGACATCTGAAGATACCTGCAAATGCAGTAAGGTCTCTGTGGCTTTCCCCTGCTACCCAGTTAGGGATATGTTACTAAATTATAATTAGAAATCTCAGCTACATTAGGAAGGAGGTGGGTAAAAAGTCATAATTGCCAAGCTGAAGCAATCCTAAACTTGGTTGTTCCTTTTCGTCACTTTTAGGCCAGAGCACAAACAGTAGATGAACAGTGGCTCCTGTCAGAAGACTACAGTTATGGTGTTTATATTCAGTAAAAAGGAAGAGAACCATACAGTAGATGTAATTTTTTTTGACCTCCTGACTTTGGCCATGAGGGGGTAGGACCTGCAGGGCTGTTGTCCCACTCACTTTTCCCCATCTCAAATTGAAGCATAGATTCCTGGCTAAAATCAGGATGCACATATATCCCTCAATTTACAGCACAGCTTATTTTCCCTCCAAAGTCTGCATGCCAGCCCAACAAAGACTTGAGCAGTGAAGAAAACTTTGCAGCCATATGGGCTTTTAAATTCTTATTCATTAATTTGATTTCATTTTGTTTGTAGTAATACAGAGTGCAAGAGACTGAAGTATTCCAGCCATCACACAAATACTGTCCAGGACAAGCTTCCCTGTTACTAAAACCTTTGTGAACTGGTTAGTCACATTTAGATGAACACTTTGTGACCTTTTAGAGAAAGGTCTTACAAGCTCAAACATTAAACAGAGAGGAATGTGCATCTGATCATGCAATACACTAATGGCCCTGTGTTTAAATATCACCTGGCTGGAGGGATTGTGTATTTTGAAGACAGCAACATCAGCCTCCAGGAATCTTCTCTTATTTGAATTATGCAAAACTGAATCAGAGAATTGACTCAAAATACTATAAGCTGTTAATTCTGTCAGCACTGTTACAAACTCAAGTAGTAATTTAAGAAAGCCATTCCTCAATTTTGTTTCTATCGTTATTTTTATTTTTATTTTTATTTTTATTTTTATTTTTATTTTTATTTTTATTTTTATTTTACTTATTTATTTATCCTTTTTTTTAGACAAGCAGGGCTCTTGGTCACTCCACCTGGAAGGCTGCTGTGATCAGTGTCCTCCCCTGGGGCTGCACAGGCACTCCTGATGAAGACAACATCGGCTCACCTGTGGTAGCTCAGCTTCTCTGAGGCAGCACCTTCACTGCCCCCTGCCAGCAGGGTGAGCCCCAAATCATAGAGTCTATGCACAGCAGTGCCCTAGCTGCCAATTGGTGAAAGAGATCAAATTAAAGTCACACCTAGTGCTCCTTGTTAAGTGCTTCATAGTGCTTTGAATTGTGTGAAATTGAGGTGCAATAAGAATGTACGAATGAAGAATGTTCCCATCTATCTCCTCCTTCATGTTATGACAGTAAAATTACAGGACAAAGTAAGCTCTTCCTTTCAAAACAGGACATTAAGGGGGAAAAAACACCTTTTCACAAAATCTGTGCATTTCCTTTTTTTTAGCACTGCATAAAAGTTGCACTCTGTCTCAAAGGACTGTCTAAAAATGCAAGCGGAAAACAGAAGTTACCCATGCCCTTGGATGATAACACAAGCAGGATTCAAAAACTCAGTCTACAACTACAACCCACTGACTCAATGAACTTGAAACATCCCATTAAAAAAAAAAAAATCAAAACAGCTCTGAATGAGAAGCTCCCAGGAGCATGACAAACCAGTGGGTAAAATAACGTGTGGGCTGGCAAAGAACTATCAAGGAAACGCCTTGATCTTCAACTGTGGCCGCCAGATCACAGAGCAGTCTTGAGGGAGGACATCAGGTTCCCATCCGATTGCTGCTTTTATTAAATGGTCCCAGAATATCCAATTACAGAGAGAAGGTGCACACAGCTACCACAGGCGTTAGCTGACTGCTCAACTATGTCCCTGCAACATAAAAAAATCAAATGACAAAGGAGATGATGAAAGAGAAACAATCAAAAAGAAATTAAAAGTGACTGGTATCTTAATCTACAGTATAGTACCAATATCCCTGCCTGAATAGCTAGGCAGGGATGTTGGTACTAAATAAGAAGAAAATGAACCCCGCTCTTTTTATTTAATCTTGGTGTTAAGAACCATTCATGTGGCCATTGCAGCCGTTACATTTGGCACAAACTTGGGCCACTCTCACTTTCCTGAAATCTTATTCCCTGTTCTGAGGAATCTTATTCCCTGTTAAAATCCAAGAGAACTTTACAAGGAGGGTAGGCAGCCAAATTTCAGGCATGTTGGGGGAGTCTGCAGTTAGCACAGTTCACAGCATAGACATTTAAACCTCTTTTGGTAAATATGTCAGCAGAAGTAAAAGGGTTAAAAATCATTTAAAGTCACTAAAATATGGAGCCACACAATAGCCAAAAGCTATAGAAATGGAAGATCACAGAAAAGACACTTTCAGAATATAAAAGCTGGCAAGAAAATATTGAATTTCAGGTCTACTAAATAAAATATCTTCTAAAGGTTTTTGTCTTAAAGAGATTGCTGAGCTCATAATCAATCAGTCTGGCTACTTAGACACAGCACCCCATCAGAGGATTTAGCAAAAATGAAGTACTAAATTATTCAGCACTTAAGCAATTGTGTAAGGAATACGTAGCTGAATAGAACAAACTGCAAAACAAGATTATTTCCCCATTACATCAGTATATACTTTAGTTTTAACAGGGCTTTCCAGGGAAGTATTTAGATATTTTTCCCATGCACAGAATTGAGATCCCAGCTTTTAATCTTGCATTTTAAAGTCAAATTACTGTAGTATTTATATGCATTTGAAAAGGATCACTGCTCTCTCAAATTTTAAAATTAACATTTTTACTATATTTACAGCTATGTTTTCTCTTTCTCAGTTAGGCTACCTTTCTATAAAAAATACACAACGAAACTTCCTGCCCTTCTCTATTACAAATTTGCACCATGTTAAGCTTGTAAAAAAATAATAGGAAAGTCTAATTTTTGTGTACATGTACTACATACATATCATACATGAGTATGTCCAAGGAGTCACAGAGATAACACTTTTCAGACAAGTATTTCCAAAAAGACAACTGGAAATTACTGGAATTAAGTGTAAAAACCTGGAATTAAGTTTTCTCAGAAAGATTTTTCAAGCTGTCATGTACACAAACCAGATGAGATTTACATTTTTCCATGAAGAGTTTTGATGAATTTTGGATATGCTTTGATGCATCAGCTGTAATCTTCTGGAAGACTTTCCCTTTTTAAGTCTTTCTTCAGATTCATTATCAACCTTTTGAATGTCTTACAAAACATGAATACAAACCTGCTAGTGCTGGAGACTGTATCCCAGCTGTTAATACCCATAAGAACAATGACAAAATGGGCACTATTGCATGCAATTTCATGCAATTTTCATACACAGCTGTTAAAACACAGGCAGGAGTTCTGTAACACCGGAATTCACAAAGAACTGATACTGTAAAATGTTACACCAACACCTGACAAAATGGAAAATGTTGCTTACCAGTGCCTGCAACTCAAGGTCACAGCATTAAACAGCATCAAAACAACTTGTTAAGGTGATAAATTTTGTCTCAAGCCCCCATCTCTTTTATTTTAGCATTGGATTTCCTTCTGGCAGCTGCACTAAAACACTAAACCACGCTGAGAGGCTGAACGACACGATCTGGGCATCACAGTTTATTGACTCATGATGGATAATCAACACACATTTCAATTCTTTGATCAGTGGTAGGGTTTCTTACTTACCTTTCAAATGTATGCTGCAAATTTCTAAACAGTAGAAAACCTCAAATCTAAGCCAAACAATAATGATTAAAACAGCAAGACATCAACTCCACCTAATTTAATGTTAGGATTTATTTTTAAAGAGGATGCTTCATGAAACTTCATACCAAACGTTTTCAGCTATTGGTCACAGAGCAAGCAGGAGTGTTGTACTGGATAAAACTACAGTAGATGTCAGTACTCATTCAAATATATTTCCAGAGTTGTGACAGCACTGTCTGTTGAACAGAATTTGAGGTGTTCTGCACTATTTAAAAACACAAAGAGTTTCAATTCATCATCTGTTTCCATGCTGCCATAGTGACAAAAGATTTTCAGAGTTCTAACTCCTTTTTTCCCCCTGCCATATATAAAATGTTAGAAATCAAAATGTAATTCTGACAGATTTAACCCATATACATTTACCTAAATGGATAATTCTGTTACTTTGGTGACGGTCTTCAAAATAAATCAAACACGACCAAATAAACACCTACAATACACACCTTTTTTCCCCCGCTGTTTTCTAAGTATGTTAAAGAATGTAAAGAGGTCCATATGTTTGTAAAGGCAACTTGATCATTCAGCAGCAAAACCAACTTACAGGAAGTGCACTATAAAAAACCAGTTACACCTAGACCTTACACTGCTGAATTACTGACCTACACTCACCCTTCATTTTTATATTGCTAAACTTATGAGCAGTTTTACAGATTTCATACTGCATCTCCTTCAGACCTCAGGGGAAAAAAAAAAAAACAACAGAAGAGGGAAGGCACATCCCCATGGCATGTGAGACAACCATCCCATTGGTTCCAGGACTGGAACTCTGGTTTATTAGACCCAAGACCCCAGCCTAGGGGAACCATCAGGAAAGCAAGCTGCCATGCTACCCTTTGAGGGCTGACACATTCTGCCAGAGGATTTTGGCTATTTTCCCTTAGAGAGAATGGTGAGAATCTTCAGATGCATCCCAGATTAGAAGTGTTTCACAGCAACTGCTTCACTGCTTCTACACTTAAGCTCAGTCCCATTCCCCCCTGTCAAGCTTTGCCTTCTCCAACCCCCATTCCACATCAGGGTCCCCATTACTTGTAGAAACATCCCATGCTCTATTTCATAAAGGCCCTTTACGTCTTCCTCTCCAGCCAGTTCCATTTGTCCATTCTGTGTTGCATGGAGAAGGCGCAGTCACTGCTTTCAGTGACATTAGTGTCAGTTCTCACAGGATGGCCTCAGGCTCTTGTTTGCATCCACTCACCTTCCTTGGACCTTTTATTATCTCCTCTACAGTCAAACTGGACAGCCACTTCTTCCCTCAAGCTCTGTAAGGAGTCATTCAACTCAAGCAGAAAAACCGCCACTAGTACAGTCTTATTCCCAGAGACACCCAACTTTCCAAGAGCTGAATGAGGGAATTATTGCTGGGGACAGCTGATGGCACTGGCTCACTTGCTAAGCACAGGTGGGACACAGAGCAGCAGCAGGGCTAGATGGACTGAGGGAGGGCATGTGCCATGGAAGCTAACTACTTGGAAGAAACTGTCAATTGATCTTCAAAACCTCTCCAGGCCTTGCCAGTAAATCCCCTGGACTGAAGGCATTGAGGAAGTCACAGCTTCTGTCCTGACATTTTAGAACAGATATTTCTGAGATCACAGTGGGGGTTTTTGCTTTAAGTTTGACATCTTAATAAACAACTTGATACTGAGCCTTCTAACAGGAGAAAACAGAGAACCACACCAATTTACCAGCTCAATAGAAGTAAAAATACAAGGCAAGTAAGCATTTGATGATTCCTTTTCTTTTTGCTAGTTATGGTAAATTCAAATCCAGAAATGTTAAGCAGTTGACCTTTCTCAAATGATATTTTGCTAAGTAGTAATCCAAATACCAAAATGCATCTTGGCATGTATTACAATGAAAAAGTGTTGACATGCATTCACACTTTATTTCATTTTTTTTTTCAAGGAAGAAAAAGTACCAGTAAGCATCCACGCGTTTGCCATACTGCAAACTCCTTGTTCTTACTGACTTGTACTTACTCTTGCAGACAATCCCACACAAATCAGTGCTTCCTTCCCTTAGATGTCACATTAAACTACTCAGGGTTTAAGTGTTGTGTATGGGATTTGCAATCTGTTATAGTGTAAGTAAAGAGGATTGTTGGTATTTATGGAGCAAATGCTGGAAAACAAAAAGAGAACGACATCTGCTTTAAGGTAACGACAGACAGGAAAACTGGCATGTTTTGGAATTCTAAGGCAATGACGTTGGACCAGCATGTGAAATTCTGCTGTAGACACCAAGTTAATGTACTGCTGTCTTCTGCAAAGGAGAATTATTCCAATGTTTTTTCCCCTTGTTTTTTTCTAATTCAGTGATAGGTAGCAATATGAAATGCCAGCATTGCCACCAGATAACTTCTGTATTTCTGTATTCAATGAACCCCTTAAGATGGCATGTAATGCCTGGCTGGAGGAGCACACTCTTTATTTAAGATGATTTATCTGGCGATATTAATGTACATTAAAGATACACATGACCATTTTTGCAGACTTGAAATTTAATGTATTTTCAGAATTCACTACAAAAACGGGTTTCACAACTGTAACCATACACTGGGACTTCTACAGTAGTATGAATAATGTACAGATGTCTTTCCCAGGACTACCAATACTGCGCATTGTGCAAATTATCTGGAACTGCAATCCTTCCTCAGCAGCAGTTGGAAGAAAATTTGTGAGCTGAATACTGATATCAAAATACAGATTTAAATAATTTACTCTTAAAAACATTCATATTTATAACCTCTTACAGAAAATAAAACAATTCATCTGATTATCAGATACATCCCTCAGTTTTTCCAGTTCCAAGGTATACACAGGTCTCCATCCTGCAGCACAGAGTAGAAATGCGAAATGCAAAGGTGCATGCCTTCTAGGTAGGGTAAAGATTCCTCCAGCAGCCTCTTACAACAATCTATCATCTGTGCACTGGAAACACTGGGCTCCTTATACAGCCGGTCCAAAGAAAATCTTTCTGTGGAAATGTTGATCAGCTCCTTCTCTGTAAGTATCATCCTAGCAAATGGAGACAACACACAGTGACAAACTTACAACTGCATCTCTTAAAACCCCTGCCTTAAAAGAAGCATTTCAATATATACTGAACATATTAAAACAAGAAATACTGAAATAAGTAGATTAAATGCATGCAAACAAAGGTGTCAATTCATATACAGATATGGTGGGGCTGAGATTTTTGTGGCCCATGACTATCAAAGAAGTCAGAGTGAACATTCTTCCATGACTCTGGGCACCATATGCCCATGGACTACATTTCAAAGCCCATATCCTGACATCTTTTTGCTCATTAAGTAACTGGGAAAAACACAAAAACAAAAATCCCGTGAGGCTCCATTTTTAATGTAAGGAATGAAAATACTTAAATAACAGTGAAAGCTTAGGTTTTAAGCATAAAATCATGTTGATAATTACCCTGTCTTAATTAAACCAGTACTCTGTATGTCATCAAAACCAACAACTGATGGGTACAGTAAACTGATGCATATTAAGTGTGTTAGTAACTTTCCAGTTGCAGAACCTTGTTGATGTGTTTGGACCCAATGATCTTAAAAGTCTTTTCTAACTAAATGATTCTATGAATTTTGAATCCAGATCTTGCAGATGATTTTTTCCTTCACCTCAGAGAAATAAGACTTGCAAACACAAACACATGCAAACTCAAACTATTCAGAAAGAAAGTTAATGTGTAGATTTAATTAAGGCACTGGAGCTGTGACTGATCAACTGATGAAGAGACAAGTTCAGGTTCAGCCAGCCCCACCAGCTTGGGCACTGTGCCACACGAACACAGCTGCACTTCCAAGCCAGCCTGGCTGCAGACACAGCTCCATTGCTGCCCTAGAGCACAGACCCTGTGCTAGACAAGGGAGGAGCTCCAGAGCAGCAGCACCAATGGGATGTGAATCAGCCCAAGGCAAGCACAGACACAGCGACTGACACCATTTACCTCACATGAAAATGCTACTGTAGGGCCTTGCCACTACTCCCCAGAGCTCAGGATGGGACCTCTCTGTGCTTGCACGGCACTGAGCTCTGCCCACTGTGGCAGTGAGAAATGAGCTGAGCCAGCGACTTAACCCAGGGCAAGCCTGTCCTCTCTATGGACCATTTCCACTCCACCTTCCTGAGTGCATTCCCAAATACCAAGGCACCAAGCTTTCCAGTTCTGTGAAATCTTAGGCTCCCTTGAAGGAAATCCAGTCAGCTGAAGAACTGCAGGTTTGTTTTCTGTCACTTCCACAGGGAGGCCTGTACCTTTATCACCACACAAACCTGATACTTTAAAGAAGCATGGGAAGGAGAATCCTGCATTACTACAAGACTGACATTATCCACACAGATACCAGAACTTTCTAAAGCAGCAGTGTTTGGATTTCCTTGAGCATAGAACTACAGCCACTCTATACTGTTTACTGCATGCAAAACATTCAAATCCACATGCAAAGTACAGCCAGTACATCTCAAAGTATTTTCCTTTATCACAGGGCCTTTTTAACCACCACACGAGGCCAAGGAAAATCAGAAGGACATGAGTAAGTCCAAGGAAGCATTAAGTGGAAAAGGAGTTTCCAGCTTCGATAAAAGACAAGTAAGAGGAAATGTGACACAGCTACAAAACAAAAGCAGAGGTGATACAGAATGACTGTTTTGTATTTCCTATCACACAGGAACAAAAGAACAACAAATGACATCATCAGGCTGTGGGTATATGAATCACAGAACACCTCCACCCTCTTTCATATACACATGCCATATGGGATTCAGATATGAAGTTTGCTGCCACTGGATATTTGGAACCACAAAATGCAAATCGGGTCAAAAAGGAGTAAGATAATTAAGAGGGGAAAAAATAAAGTCTATTGATTGCTATTAACACGAGACAATGTTTCCATCTTCACGTACTTTCTCAAGAGCAGTCAGACACAAAGTGGGAAGGAGTATGGAGTAAAAAACACATCACACTTTTTGCCCCATGCATAAAGCCTCTCCATAAGCTAATGGATGACGGGGACAGATATTGTGACCCAGTATAGCTGTTTACTATTTCATACAAACCAGCATCAGCCAGCACACAAGATATGCATCTTGGCTCTTACAATCTTGCAACACAGCTGCTTTTACTCTGAGGGCACAGTTTTCCTGGACTGGTGTCTTTATGAAGTGGGGAAGGGCGAGATTTTTTTGGAGAGTTACCCAGATGCAAATGCATTTTTTTGCTACAACATCCCTCCCAAAATCTACAGACAATACTTTCCCAGCTGTCACATGTGGACAGTTACATAGAGAGCTATTCAGTAGTTACAATTTATATGGCAAAAATTTAGCTTCCAAGCTGGAGTAGGGTTGTGGAAAAATTCCAACTAATCATGTTTACTGAAGTCCACCTGCAAAACATCTTTACAAGCAATGAGGTCTTAACAGAGCTAAAAGCATAGAGCCTTCAGCAAGACTCATGCCTAAAATACATTCTCAATAACATATCTGGATCTACACATCATGTATATTGATGACAGTGTGACAGTTCAACAACTCATTAAAAGCTTTCCAAAGCAGAAAAAAAGACTTGCAGTAACAAGTCCTAAAGGAGAAGTACCACCCACTCACCTGTAACAGTACTTTATTTAAAAACCCCAGTAGCTCTACTTCATCCTCAAGGACACATACAAGGTACAAAGTCAAGAACCGAACTCACAGTTCTGATGGATATTACAGATCATGGCCCTAATATTAAGTATGGTGCTGTGACTCCCTATCACAATCACTCTCATCATCTGTGAGAGAGTACCCACAAAGTGTTTCTCTTATCATTCTTTCCTAATTTTCTTTTCTTTGCCTTGTTAGGTACTAATTAATATTTTTCTCAACTGCCTGATCAACAACTAGAAATAATGATTCTCTAGCTGGTCTCAGTTATTTTGAGTTTGGATTTCACTGCCTTTTTGTCACATTTTAATTAACATTAATAAAAATTGTTCCTTTATTTATTCATTAATAAGGTGTTTTCCACCTTTTCTTTGAGGACATAATTGTAAAAACAATTATACAATTTTGTCTTGTAAGCAAAGATATTTTACTTCTGAATGAGGTACAATTGTCTCTACAAAGGTGAAAGAGGGTATTTTCCAATAACTGTTTGCATTCACTAATGCTGTAATTCTTTACTTAGTAAAGCTGATGGGTTAAGTTCTATTTTAGAAACAAAAGGGTTTTTTTCAGCAAAAGAGTATGAATACATTTTAAAAAATTCTCCCCCTTCTTCAAATAAAAAAAAAGACATGCAAAGATTTTAAAGAGCTAAGTGTATCAAGTCACATGAACACTTACTCCTCCTTTCTTTTCAAATTCTCTCTTGCTTCCTGTGCTTTGGCAAAAATAAACCATTGAAGAGCTGCTGGATCACAGATTGTTGGGATCACAAAGTGTCCAAGTTCATGTAGGCTTGGTGCATATCTGTCACTAATGAAACACAATGGAAGTAAAGAACAAGGTATAATTTTTTAATGCAACTATTTATATAAATTACATTCAGAAAAAAAAATCTAGAGATACAAGAATATAAGTTAATCACAATCAGAATAATTGGTAAAAAGCTATCAAGTTTGGTTCATGAGAATGGAGAAATATAGTCGGTTATGCTTTTTTAAAATGACATTTCAAAAGGAGCTGACAATAATACTCAAAAAATATAAACACCATCATGACAGCCCAAACTTTTGATTTAACACTCTAAACTAGACAGAATTGAGTCCAACTTGAATAAAACTAAGCATGATATTCTTCAATCTGATTTCTTCTTAACCCATAAAAATGCACTTAAAACCTTAAGAACAAAAAGACTTTGACACAATGAAAATCTGAGATTATATTGCTTTTCTTCTTAGTGAGAGCACTAAGCGGTGTAACAAAAAAAGGAAAAGAGTAAAAGCTCTGAAAGAAATCAACCTTCCTTGCCAACACTTACCTTTCCAGAATCATCTGCAAGCCTCGCAGACTGCGAGGATGAAAAGGTAATCTGCTGTCACGTAGTTTATTATAGAAAGAGTTCAGAGTCTCAAAGTACTCTTCTAGAGTCAACAGAGGCTGCAGTTCTTCAATGTATATTACTTGGATGCCTCCCAGAAGTTGGCTTATCCGATCCTCCAAAAGGAGCAGCCTTTTTTGAAGCTTATAATAATTTGGCAGTCTCTCAAAAATCTGCGCATACACATGAATGAACATTTTCTATGTTACAGAGCTTAAAAGTTAATTTTAATAAATTAAAAAAGTAACAAGAAACCATAGAAGAGACACTTAACAATGCAAACATGGAACCAGAGGGGAAAAAAAATTACAATCAACGAATACCATAGGTGAGAAATATTAAGTACATATGTTTTGGGATAAGATATAATCCAACAAGCTTTTAAGTATTTTCTGTATTTATAACATAAAGGTACCAAAAGGACATAAAAACATGGATGAATATCCTCTATATATTCAAAAATTAATAGTCTCAGATAAAAAAAAAATATATATAATCTGATGCCTATATAAAACATTTATCACCACAGTTATAGTGGTAGAGCTATTCCTCATACAGTAGTCACTACTTGCCATCTACCCTGTTGATAATATTTTAAAGTAGCTTTTCATATAAAAAAGAAAAAGCTGCTGCCACAACAAGTCAAGGGATTTCAGACCTATCGCTTTAGAAACTCAGGAGAACAGTAGAATGGACAGTAGATAGTTCTGATAGTAGAGTCAGAACAGCTTTTGGCACAATAAAATTTGGTTCAGCATTTGCATTTGTTACAGAGAAAACCAGCAAAAATCCTTTAAATATTGTAGCTCTGACCAAGCATCCTAGAGACTGACTTGGACAGTACTCTACTGCTTCCTTCTTCTAGCAATTAGTAACAAAAATTAATAGCACTTAGAACTGCTTTCTAAAATGAGGCAGAATTGGACAAATATGCTCTCTAGAAACTGACCCACCAACCTCATCAAGATTTTCACTGACTTTCTGTGTAACATTTCACATAATCTTCACTGCATTTCAAAATAAAAAGCCTCTGATTTCTGGTTCAAATATATACAACTCTTTTGTCTTCCCAAGCAAATACCATCCCTACAACTAACTACACACATTGTTCCATCTGCATGTCATTTTGTGTGGCCTTATGATGCCTTTGGAAAAACCTGCAGCAAAGGTTAGAGAGATGAAGCATTTATCTTTTCAAGAAGTCAGTGTTTATTTTAGTATAATCAGGACACTTTATTGCAATGACTATCAACACTCTCAAATCTCAGAGTGTTTTCTATTAAATTCTGGTTTCTCAGTTTAAGTTCTTAGCAAATTGTTCACACTAACAAGCCATGGTTTGTTTCCCCCCCTCAGTGAAACATATATAGGGAAAAATTCAAAGCACCACCAAAAAAAGAAGATCAAGTGTTAACTTTTCATATTATTCACTGACTGGAATACAGAAAAGAATATTCTGATATTCTAACAGGGTGAAATTTCCAACTATGAAATTCCACCAATTATCCCCTTTATTAATAAAAATTTTTGATAGAATTATCAGTAATGTTTCAGTAACCAAGATTAAAGAAAAATTCCTCAAGTGACATGTTTATATTGCAACATATTTAGTTTTTGGTCCTTTGCATACAATGCTATCATTTAGGATGTCAGAAAGCTTATCAACTCTGAACTTTACACAAGCAGCAGCAGAATTGACATAGTCCCTAAAGATAAAATTCTGCAACCTCCACATTAGCTGCCTAAAAGAACAAAATAGAGCAACAGGGTTGGTTAGAGTCATTGACTGAAATTATCAGTTCACAACTCCCATTAAATCTCATATTTATAAAAGATTGGAATAAAATCCATGAGCTCTTCATGGCAATGAGCTCTTTATGATCACAAAGCATTCTGCCAGGACTCACTGCACAGACTGGAACAGTGCATAACAAATTAGTTTACTTTATCTCTAATCAGAAGTAGTACTGACTTACTAATGAAAGCAAAGATCTAGCAAAGACTGTTTTTAGTAACAGCACACACAGGATTAAATCTCAAATGCAGTGTACACCATTATGCTAAATGCATTAGCCAAGTGTTTGCTTTAAAACACTCATTGGTTATCTGCACCTATTAATATTTTTTGTTTATAGTTTAAAAAAGGCTGTCACAACAAGGGGCATTTTCATTTGATTTGGAATCTTCTTACTTTGGTCCAGTGATGGTGAACATCCATGGTCCCCAGCATTATGTGACCTGCTGCACTCATACCCGAGCGGTCAGTAAATACCACCGTGCGTCCTAGAGATTGAACAAAGCTCTTTACTCATTTGGCTTACTGCAACCATTCCTACAATTACTGAAGGCTTAACCAGGCTGCTAACATGTCACAAGAAATGTATTTCTGCAGCACAAATGCATGTGAGTAGGTGCTTCTGTTATTCTTCAAATTTTGAAAGGTTCCTGGAAAGTCCAGTTTAGGAATTTTTTTCATACAAACCTGACCCAGCATTTGCCTCCTCTCTGTTTCAACTTGATAGACTTTTATTTAATTGGGCTTTTTTCTTATGACTGTTTTTAAAATATGAGAAAATCTCATCAGAGAGGATATTCAAAGAATCTGTATAAGTCATGTAAAAAGTAGGAAATGCACACTATATATTTGAAGTATATGCAAATTAAAAGTTGGTCAAGTAATTATGAATAAGCGCATTCAACTCTATTTTTGAATTCTCAGCAACATGCAAGCTGTAAGAAACACTTGTACATTATTTTTGAAAACATATAAGTTTTCATTCTTTTTTAAAACAGAGACAACATAAAGGGCTACTTCTAGGTGAATTTTTAGGGGGATAAATCAGTTTTGAGTGTGAGTATGTTTTTTTAACAAAGATCTTCAAGATCTTCAAAGATCTTTAAGAATTCTTTAGGCTAAAAAGCACAGGCAACTATTTATCAAAATAAGCTTCCATAAGTCTTCAGTGTGATGTATTAATCTACAAGACAAGGCTTAAGTAGAAGCTCTTGCAAATCAGTGTTCTGAAATCCCAAAGAAAGAGCAACACTGACTGCAAGGCATCTAATCCATCCTTGTACCCTAAGGCCACATCAACTGTACTTGTATAGTTACTGATAGGTATTTATCCAGTGTGTTACTACATGTCTTCAAAAATGGAGACTACATCAGGTTCACAAGACAGACTTCTGTAATGCTTTCTATCTTTAGCATGCTCAGGAAAAGAAACTAATCTGAAATCTGATACAATTTAAAACTACTACTCATTGTCCTTCCCACTCTGTCTTTTGGCAAAGGATTAGGGGAACCCTCAAATGAAAGCCACTCAAAACTGGGTATCTGCAGACAGGCATAAAATGTGGAATTACAATTAGAGGAAACAGCTACTGCCACAGGTCAAACAGCTGTATGAGAAGAATGGTAGGTCAGGTTTACAGAATATTTTAGTTTTTCCTGAGAAAATACCGAATTTAATATAGCTATTTTATGGAACTCATGAGAAAAGAAAGCAAGTAGCATTTTAAGGTATTCTAACAAATCATCGCTAGGGTTAGAGACCTACTCACATTTTTGACTTGAATATACCATGGGCAACAATCTACTGCTAACTCAATCCTTTGAGAGCTTCAGCTTAGATTTTTTACTTTCATTGCTAATATTAAGCCTAGTGCTGTCAACAGACTCCACTTGCATTTATTAAGAAGTAAACTAGAAGCTGAGTGCAGTCAATCAATTCTAAGGGAAGGTCACTTTAAAAAACACCCAGTAGCTTTAAAGGTAAGTTCTCACCAGCTTTTCTGTAAGCCTGACAAGTTTGTTTTTGCAGTTATCAAAAGAATCATTTCTAAAAAGAACTAGAGCTCCCTTGTCACAGGGGACCCATGCTCATTTTTGAATCAATACTAGATTAGGATATATGAAACAGGCAACAGAAATACCTTTAACATTCTCTAATATTTCAGGTCGCTGTTGGACCAAGCGACCCAGACTGTGCAGCTGGCTACAGCGGTGAGCAATGCCCCAGCTTCTCTGCCACCTAAATAAAATGGAATTGAAAGCATTTAATCCTCAAGATTATTTTAAAAAAGTCACAGAAGTTGAGATGCAGCTCAAAGCCTCATAACACAAGCAAAATAGCACCTCAACAGAAATAAAAGCAAAGGCTACCCAAAAGCTGTCCATGTCATATGTTATTTGAACTGATAAAAAGCCTAAATAAAATTCCAGTGTTTCTTAAAGTGAGTCCCAAAAAAAAAAAAAAACCAAAGAAAACCAACACCAGGAAAAATAAATATAAAACCAGGTAGACAGAACTAATAAATCTCTCCCCCAGAAAGAAGGGGGTTAGTAAGAGAACAGCGCCAGACAACCCAGTATTTGGTTTGGTCACGGACCATGCAGTTTGTTTGGACAATGTGTAATGTTTGTCCAGAGGAGCAAATACAGTATGTAAGGACATTGTCTTCTTTTCTTATTTTTTTTTTTTTGGTTCCTAGCCCAAAACATTACCACGATTCCAATGGAAAGTTGCTATTATTAATATTTTATATTATTAAGTATTATTTATATTTTATAGTAGAGTAATTTTTGTTAAACCATACAAGAGCCAGGTGTTAACTTGCTGGCTTCAATACACATAGTTTTGACATTTTTTTATCACAAACCGATGAGACTGATAGCTAAGCAAATTTCAAAAAGCATCTAAACTGTGAAGTCCCAGTGTATTGGAAAAATACACCTTTTTACAGACTATTAATTGATGGAAAACTGTCTCAAAGTGGAAAATTCCCATTCCTTTATTGTACTGTGTTTGTCTGGAATTTATTTTCTTCATAATACTCATATTTTATATTTTATTAATAGTGATCATAACACACCAATATTTTGGCTATTGTACAGTGCTGGCACAGCATCCAGGTCTTTACTTTTTCCTCCCACTCTGCCCCCCACCATCAGGAAGCAGGCTGGGGTGGACAAGGCACTGGGAGGGGACACAGCCAGGCTGGGTGACTCCCACTAACCAAAGGGATATTCCAGACCATATGTCATGTTCAACAGTAAATGCTGATGGAAAGAAGGAAGGGGAACCTTTATGGCTGTGGTGTTTGTCTCCTCAAGCAGGCATTACACATGCTGAACCCCAACTGCCCAGAAGTGGCTGAACACCTGCCCATCAATGGGTAACACAGAATTAATTTCTCCTTTTGCTTTGCTTGAACTCAGTTTTGCTTCATTTCAGCTATTAAACTTCTACCTTAATTCACAAATTTTCTTGCTTGTGCTCTTCCTATTCTCTTCCTCCTTCCATTGGGGGTGTATGAATGAACAAGTGGTTGTATGGGTACTCAGCTGCTGGCTGGGATCACTCACATCTCATTTAGGAAAACCTAACTGGCAAAACCTCACTCTTTGGTTTGCAGAGAATGGCACTAGGCCACAGCACTTGTGAGGCAATTTAATGAAATACAAGTAATTCAAACAATTATTTACTGTTACCTAGCAATATCACTTTGCTTTCAGCAGCATCAGACTGGAGCAGAAAAAGGTGGCCATTTCTTCATCTGTCCTAAACTTATACATGGAATAATGCCAGTGACCCAGCTATTTTTCAGATCTCTGTGAACACTAACACAAGGCTCCAGAACCACAGGTCATAGTGCCCTATTAAGATACTGCCTTGTCAGATTTCCAACACTCACATTCTTTTCTGAATTAAAACAATGTGTAACTCATGGAAGATAAATAACTCTTGATGGAACACAATAATTTTAATGTATTTTAGAAGTACAAATTATTTAAGAAAATTAATATAGGCCATGAATAAAATCAAACCTATGAGTTTAATACTAAAGACTGTTCCAGAATGTTAAAAACCCTCACCACAGAACAGTTACAGAGCATTAGAAATTGTGTTCAAAAAACCTGGCTTCAGCTTAAAGGAAACCAGGGTCTTTTGCAGGGTGAAAGTACAAAAGCATGATTTTAGAAGCTTCAACTCTCTCTTTCCTGGTTAAAAAAGTAGCACATAACAGACTAGCCCTTGAAATAATCCCCCAGATTTTATTTTTCCATTTGTGAATACCTTCACTGCCACTTTCCCTACCCTGAATATCTCACTTCACAATATTCTCACTCAAATGCACAAAAATGAAAAAAGGATTGCAAATTATTTTCTGGAAGTATTCTGAAGAATCAAGACCTCCAACTGTACTCAGATCTTTCAAACAAAGAAATCCCCTCCTCTGGAGAGTGAGAAACTAAACACTAAAAGAAAGAACATTTTCATTAAGCATTCACAGGATGTCATTATGTACTATGTGCAAAGCTGCACTTTACTGCTGGTCTAGTTAACTTTGTAGATAGCAACTTGATTTCAGGAAATGTAATATTAACCAGCAAAACATTCAAACTAACACATACACACCAGTTCTATTTCTGTGTTTGTCTCAACTGGAGCCTACATTTTCAGTTAGAAATAGGTCTCTCAGAGGAGATTGTAACAGGAAACTTTTGATCCAGTAGAACACTTCTAGAAATTTACTCAGTGCAGTAACACTTCTTCATATATGAAATATAGCTGTTTTGCTGAAATAAGCTTTTAAAGTTCATAGCAGAGTATTAGACAACACTTCCTTGCTTTGACTGTCTTAATCCAAGTTCAACTGATCTAATTAATTACCTGATATCTGAGAGCTGGAGTTCATGAGAAAGTTCAATTTTTAAACGTTCTAATTCTTTTCTAAGCGGCAAACTCTTTTTCAGCTTTTTTACTGCAGTTGCTGCATTATCATCTAGCCAGGACCTGAAAGAGGAAGAAAAATACTCAACAGTAGAAGCATGCTGCTGTATGATTTATCATGTAAACAGTACAAGTAACTCAATTCTTACTGACAATATGTTTCAAGCCAAATTATCGGGTAAAGGGATTTTTTAAAAATACAGGATAGAAGATGAAACTGCTAAATGCTTCACCTTAAGATATCTACAAAGGAAACCCTGGTACTTAATATCTTTGGAGAGACCTAAGAAATCTAATAATCAAAATCACTGACAGTGTTCAAACTGTAACACTTGGATATTTGTTTAAAAGGCAAAAAACAACAGATCGCTGTGACTTCAGGGGACACCTTCAGAACTCTGATTTAATTTAAGGAGTTTCCACATATGTGCCTTTAAAAAACCTGAAACAATCCCACACACACCAAAACCTAACAGAAAACCCCAAAGTGATCATAGCAGACTATCAAATATGGGAGGTAGTACTAAAGGGCTAGGTTAGGTAACTTTTAAAGAGCTGACATGAACATAGATTAAACAGGTCAAAGTTTTATAGTTTTTTTGCCAATAATCACAACCAGGCAAACACGACTCTTTGAGTACATCTAAAATTTCAGCAGGTAATTTTGTTTCTAGGAAAAGGTTACTATTTAAGAGATTTAGCCTTTTTCATAGTATAAACTAATTTTCATACTCTTAACTTTTGCAAACAAATAGTTGCATTCTCATTTGTATTCGAAAAAAATTCAAACTCAAGTAAAAAGGGAGGCCTGATGCCAGCTGTCTGTGTATTAAAACAAGACTGTTAATACGTAACTGTCTGTGGCACTCCTTGTAAATGTGTAAAAATAAGTAAAAATATTCTCTAGCATGTTAAATCTCAGTTAAATACTTTATAATTGTGTATTTTAGAGTTGTTTTATTTGTGAGTTGGTATGCAGGACAAGGGGCATACTTTGCTCTGAAGATCCTTCCAGCATAGTTCTGCATTCATTTCAAAGGGGACTTAAATCTCATTGTTACAAAAGTTTTTCAAGGCCCCAAAATGTGAATGTGTCAGAAAATGAGCATGTACAAATTTTTTTAAACTACCAACTTTACTAGAAAACATGCTACATGTAATGCAAGTTCAGCATTTATAACTACACTGTTATATTCAAGTTTTTCTGCTGAACAACAAATGAGAAGCACAACACTAAGATATAGTGTTAACATGCATATTAAAACCTTTTAACCCTAGTTTTCATGTATTATCTTCCACCCTCAACAGAATGGGATAATGAAATAGGAACCCTGAAGTTAACAGCCATACAGGTTTGTGTTACAGAAGTCCTATAAGAGGTAAGGAGCTATTTGGAGCAGTGGGGCCCCTGTCTCTTTTTGAACTGCCACCAATATTTCATAAATCTGAAAAACTAGATCAACCATAACTAGATTGACCAAACATGACTGCTGGGCAAAGAGACCAGAATGCTTCAGCTTTGCTGGCACTGTAGTTATTCCAGGAGCTCATCTGAACTCTAATTATAACAAGCATGGCAAAATTACATGTTGGACAATAAGGTTTTGTATTGTTCAGAATGTTTATTGCCTACCTTTAAAAAACTCAGCATTAGAATAAGACCAATTTAGGTTTCAAAATTTCAGTTCAATGAAAGCATTACATACAGTAAAGTTGTTTCCACTCTCTGGGCTTGCTCTAGTTCCTCCTCAGGATCCTTGAATCCAGTAAATGAATAATAAGTCTTATCCCATTTGATAGGTCTGTTCACTGTGCTTTTTGCTTCCTTGTGGGACTGACAGTTCCCATTCAAACTCTGAACATGCTCTGTAGATAGACTGCAGGAGTTGAGAATATCTAGTACTGTGCTCAGGAGATCCCTAGTATGTAATGTAAAACTGACCGCTCGAAACCCTGTAAAAAACAAGTATTATTGAATTAAAATTATTTTAAATGCATTCCCATTTATTTCCTCTTACAGAAGAAGCTAGGCAAGGCACAGGTAGTTGAAAATTGTGATGATACTGTTATTTCAATACTCTGCAAAATTCACATGCAGCTTAACTATGTCCCATCACTTAGCTACTGGGCCTAATTTCCCTAATTAGAAAGTAAGCTTTTGACTCAAGAGCAGAAGACAGGTTCCAGTTCAAATGTTATGTTAAGGAGACCAGACATAACCCTACTACCTTCTTGAAAAACAGCAAGATTTTATTTTCTAGCATGAGGGTGCCACACAATTTGCTCAAGTGTTTTGACTGTCAGGATACAGAATGTAAAACTCTTCTGTTAGGTAAGGCATATTGGTACTGGAGACAAAATGTAGAATAAAATTAATCAAAAGCAATAATCCAAATTTGGCAATATTTTTTGTAGTCACAAAGATAAGTCACAATGAAGTAAATTAAAACTTCAGATATCATAGAGCTTCTTCTTAGAGAGTAAGTTCCTACTGATTCTACAAGTGTCCTGACACTGTGTACTACATTTGAACTGCCATGAGGACAAGGACCCAACTGTTGCTCCAGTTAAACATGGCAATGGAATTAAAATCAGAAATACGATCATTTACATCCACCTTTTTTACTTCCTTATACTGTAACATGACCTCAGGGCTGTAATGTCTCATTCTTTCAAGGCTTTTTAAAGCTTAAGATGTTTAATTACTTGGGATGGTCCCACCTGCCTGATCTAATACAGATTTTCATGGTTTGACAGGATTTTATTCAGTTGAAAAGTCATTACAGCTGCACAGGGCTAAGCAATGGTCTGAAGGAATTTAAAAACAGGAAGATACATTCTACACGATATAAAAGCACCTGAAGCACTGAAGGATTCCTGAACATTAGAAGAGTTTGGTTCTCTTTCTCTTACATAAAAAGTAAGCTGAGTTGGCTTAAAGGAACGAAATCCTGGTTTCTGTAGGTTCTCCAAGTAGCCATTTAGCCTCTTCAGAGAATTTTCATTTACTTCCTGTTTTAAAACAAAACCAAACAAAAATTACAGATTATTAATTTGGGCATTTTTTATCTAAACCTTTTTAATCTTATATGCCGAATTAGGTTTCACAAAAACCTAAGTTTTTGTGAAGTCAGTTGCTTTTAACAAGTACTAATATGGTTCATATTCTCAGCATTTATAATCACCTTGCACAAATAAATTTGTATGGTGAACATACTTGCATATTTGTGTACATTCCAAAACCCACTGGCTTTCAAGCTTAAAGAAATTAATTGATTCAAATAAAATGCACAGCATTTCAAAGGGATAAGATATATTATAAATTCACCTGGAAGGGCTCAGTACTTTCTTCATAACAATTAGAAAATATGATTAATAAAAAAGGCACTTTCAAGGGACCTATCCCTGCTAAAAATTAAGAAAGTGCATATTTTTGTTCTCTGGTACCAACCATAATTAATTCTAATGTTACTTTTCTCTCTCTGACAGCAGGAAAACTAGAAAATTTCCATCCTGGATACGTGAAATATTTACAAAGAAAGCATACTGAAGTATTTTACCCTCTCTTTGGGATGCTGGCCAAAGAAATCTGGATGTACAGCAAAATAGAAAGGTCTGAGAGCATTGATGGCATCGGCGACTGACAAAGTTCTTGACTGAAGAATGCAATGCAGCAATATCTTGTCCAGACACAACCTAACAAAGCAGTAAAATGTTTATGTATGATGCTACCAATCAAGTGACAAACTGATACAATTGCACTAAAATGTGATAGAATGGAGTAAACATTTCTAATTGCAAGTATAATAATTTAAAACTGGAGAATTGAAATTAGGAGTCTGAATTCTGGATCTTTCCCCTTGGGATTAACAAAGAGTGTTTTGACAGTGCCAATCCCACGGGTTTGAGGAATGGTGGATGCTAATGGTTGAGTAAGACCACGTAAATAAGTACAGAAACTTTTCTCTACTTTCTCAAATATGCCTCAAATAAAAATTCCGAGTCAAGTAGTTCAAACTGGAAATACTGCTTTTAGTGCTATTTTTTGGTAGACATTGAAGCTGCTCCAAAAAGCCAACCTTTACATAGCTCTGAACCTCCAAGGTAAAAAGCCAAACCCAGTATTTTTCAAGCAGTGCCAAAAGAATATTAAGTTTTACCCAGGAATAATAATCACAACTCAGTGAAAAAAAGTTCCGCATTAGTTTCTGAGCTCTATACTTGTGTCTATTAAAAAAAAAATACCTACTTTCCTGAACATACTCTTTTATAGAAAACATCAAGTAAAAAGACAATACTTTTTGCACTTTCATCTTCATTGAATTACAAGAAACCAGGACTAAAAGAAATTTAATGGTAGGAGAAAAAGATTGGTTTACCTAAGATCAGAAGGAAAAGTTAAGTTGAAGAAGTTCTAGGAAGTTCAGAGAGTTCAAATTACAGAATGCCTGCAATTATGTAGAAATTAAACAACAGTTCTGTAATGAGCACATTTGTGTTACAGAAGACTGAAATGGAAAGAAAAATCACCAAAATATCCTGCCATAGCTCAAAGGTAATATGCACGTTTAGCAAACTAGGAAGCAAGAGAGTATACATAAAAGCAGCAAGAAAATGTGAATTGCGAGATATACAATAGGTTTCTTCTTCAGCTGATTTCACAAGCTACAAATTGATCAGGGCAATTCTGGTGATTAACACTCAGTTTGCAATCAGAAGGGCAGGCTCTGCTCTGTCAATGCAGTTTCACTCCTCACAGCATCACTCAAACTGCAACCCCCAAAAAGGAAAATATATGATAGATTACAGACAAAGCTGCTTCCAACTCACATAAAACTAATAACTTTATTAATAATAGTTAGCAGGACTGTTTTACAGAGATCTATTTATCCAGCATCCTAGATCAAATAATCATCCTGGACACAGAACACATGAGACTTTCCCAACTGCTATCATTAATTAAAAAAAAAAAAATCCCCAAATTTGTACTCAGATAATAAGCAGAATGCTTTATTTTGGAAAATAATAAGTGATAATATTTGAGTTGTCAAGCAGAAGCAGTGACCCTTACTTTACCTTTTTTTCTGTCAACCTTCCCAGCTCTTCAATTAGAAACATGAAAGCAGTGAAGACTAAATTTTTCTGCCTAAGAGGCAGGCAAATATTTAATTAGCAAATCTTAAAAGTCAGCTTGCTGAAAATAGAGGTTATTGTAGAAAAGTGGGACAAAAACCTCATGATGTAAGAAAGCTGATGGAATTCCAAATCTGCTATGACTAAAAAACAATTTTCAGGCATGTAGATGAAATGTAAGATTAAAAAAAAGCTAAAATATATCACTGGCAAACACTTCTACCTCCTTGTTGGCTTCATCTCAGAGACTCTAACACTAAAACTAGTCATCACTGCAGCCCAAGATTCTACTCAAAACAGCAGGAGATGGTGAAGTACCACAGCAATATAATATTCTTAGGGAGAATGAAAGCTCTTAATGACAAAATCATGCCACAGTTGCCCAGTGAGGCAGGAAAAACATCTCTACTAGAAGAGGCAAGACAGGCAGCAAAGCACTCTGGATAAAAGTCCACTTGGTCATATGCTTTACCAGTTTGGATCTGGAAGCACCAAAATAATTGTCTTGCTGAGAAAAAAAATAGTGATGTTTTTTCTCTTTTTTCAGGTAGCAAGTGGACACAAAACAGTAAAAGGAAAAAAAATATTTGCAGCAAAGGAAAACAGTTACCCTTGTGATTGCACCTGACTGACATGCAAGAAATTCACATCCTCCTAGACCAAGGTGCTAGGAGGGAGAGTAGCTCAGTTCTCTGTTCACCATTTCCCACATCCACTCTCAAGCTACCCTGCATGATGTTTCCAATAGTCCAGAATGAAAGTTCTATATAGCTGGAAACCATTAATCATACTTCTGAGTTTATTAATCACAAAGTTCCATCTGTTATTCTAGATGAAAAATGGCCAAGTATGGCTAACTTTAGTTCTCTTGTTTTGTATCTAAACAACACTGTCATGCTAGAAGGAAGGCTTAGGATTCCAGCCAAAAGTCTATTTTGAACTTGCTTAAAAGAGAAATGCTCAAAGGCCAAAATTAGTCTGCGTGACAGAAGGAAGAATTCATTCACTGAAGGTGAAAGACAGAACTCCGAGGCATCTTTCAGCTGGAGTGACAAAGTAAGTGAATTAAAATGGATTTAGAGGGAGAAAATGTAAGGAAGATGTTTATGGCCTCACTCACAAGGAGCAAAGATTGTTCCAAGAGCTTCATTTAGATCTGAAGCGCAGAGAAAGGCTTCGTACCAAAATCAAGGTCACAGCCACTTTGAGGGCAGCGCCTCTGCTTCACGAAAGACATGAAACACAATCTCTACTAGAACACATTATGCAATCATACTCCAAGCCTGATTTAATTTATTGGTTTCATAATTCCCTTCAACTTCCTTTTTCTTCACATCTCCCCAAAGTTCAACTCTTTGGCGTATAGCTTTGGCACTGAAAAGCTCTGTTAAATTAAGTTCATAGTTACAGATGTATTCACACAATTTGAAGCACTGAGCTTTAATAACTCAATAATGCAGTAATATGTTGGATATCATATTCATATTTCTCATAATTAAGCCATTTTAGAACCCTTGTTTTGTTGAGAGCCTTTTTAATGTCTCACTTGAGGACAGGCATATGGCTTTGGAGGATTTTCAACTGTGGATGCTCTGCTGAAAGCTCCAAGCTGTAAAGATGAGAATGTCAAAGAAATAAGCATGAAACAAAAGTACCAAACCAGTTTCACAAATATGCAAGTCATAAGCAAACACTGAAACATATGCTAAAGGTAAATTAGGTCAGTAACATGCCATACCTTCTCACGGTTCTCAAGCAGCAAAACATTTCAGCAACTTATTGGTTGAGCCAAATTTCAGCCATCCACTAACTCACTTAAAAAAAAATGAGAAAATAATAAAAAAAAAAAACTTTTAGAAATGGACATGGCATATCCCCCTGTTACTTGCCAATGCACTTTCTAAATTTTGGGTGATAACTTCTAAAGTCACAATAGGTAATACAAAATTGAGCAAGCACATATATTACCTAAAGCTTCTTGTAAGAATGCTTTCAGGTTCCTCTACTAACAGTGAGTCTTGCCAATATTATCAGTTGTTACAGTATCTTGATTTGAGAATGAACATTTAAAGGCACTCCAGTTAGGGAAAATAATCTTCTCAGAATTTAAAAAGCAAACAAATAGAAACTTTCTTTAAGCACTAACACAAGTAAACTTTTACTAAGTCCTACACCCTAACAAATAATAATACCTTAAAACACAAGTGCCAATTACTTTATAATTGGGTAATATAAAACCAGAGGGAAAATCACTGTCATACAGCCTGGAATTCTTAATCAAATGTTTGCTGACATTTATAAAAATGAATCAGCAATTCTTAACCAGTAACTTAGGCAATTCTTACCAATAACTTATGCACTAGGCAACTGTAGGCTAGAGTTTGCCAACAGCAGACAAACCACTTGGCACGTCAGAGTGCAAATATACACGTAATTATTAGGGATTATGTGGTAAACTCCCTATTGGCAATGTTTTCAAGCTTTTTTTTTTTAAATACACTTTGCACTTATCAAAACAACATGCCTGCAATATATGCCGTTTTAAAGAACCCGAGATGAACAGCCATCAGAGAAACATCATCTGTGTTCCAATACAGAATGACACTTCCTATGCCTACTTTGTAAAACACTGGAAGTTTCAGAAGTGCATATTACTAATACCAATATACTTAATGAAGAACCTAATTTTTCACTAGAGGCAGATAGTGGGAGGCAAAAAATACACTGAGCTAAAATATCCCCAAAACATTTGGTAATTTTTGTCTTCTGATTTTCAGAGAGGTAGGCAAAACAGTATCCGTGTCATTTTCACTGTCTGTAACAAGAGTCCTAATCATAAATTAAATACATTAACAAGCTCTCTAGTCATAAAACGGTTTTCCTTCACTGTAATTTCAGCTTCAGGCATCTGGGCAGAGGATGGAAAAAACTCAACAATCTCACTTAATCCGTGGTGACGCTTTATATAACCAGACAAAAGCATCATTGTTTCTTGCTTTAAACGCTCTATTAACAGCTTGGAAATTGGTACACGGCTTAGCTGAAAAACAAAACCTCCTGGGTTAGGCTACGCTTCACCTGCACCCCATCTTAAAGACAAATCCAGTGAAACACAACGAAATGTGAATTATGTCGCAGAAGGCTTTGGCACCCCGACGTGTGTCACATCGCTGGCAGCTCCGCTCAGCCCGCTGCTGTCTGTCTCAGGTGTTTACCTACACTTGAGGCAGCACGGAGACAACAGCGCGAAAAGCAACAAGGTGACAGCGCTCAGAAAATCAGCTGGGGTGAACGTGACTCGCTCACTGCCTGGAAGGGAATCAGCTGCGGCGCTCCGAGCACTAATAATTTAAAGCACCGAAAACAGAGCCCTGTTACAATTCGCGTTAAGATCTGCTAAAGGCAAGGTCTTCTCAGAGGGCGGCAGAGCGGACCGCGATCCGTCTCTCGGGCCTTTCGCTGCCTCAGGAACAAGACGCGGGATAAGGAGCGGCCGATGCCGGGCCGGGCCGGGCCGAGCTCAGCCCAGAGTCGGGGCCGCGCGTGCCCGCGCGCACGTACCGCCGCCGGCCCCCACCCCACCGGCGGTCACCGAGCGACGCGGCCCGGCCCGGCTTCAAAGCAGACACCCCCCACACACCGCCCAGGCACGGCCTCGCACCGTCCTCCGGCCGCCGTCCGAGCGGACCCCCCGCACAGGTGGGCGGTGGGCCGCGCTGCCTTCGCTCATGCCCTCCCCTCGCGGAGAGGCGCGCCGAGGGCCCCCGCCCGGCCCCGCTTACCGCCGAGGCCGGACGGCGACCGCCGGGGCTCGGCCCCATCGCCCCCGCCGACGGCCCCGGAGGGGGCGGGGCCGGGGGATTCCCGCCGGGGGCAGGGCCGGCGCGCGCCTGCGCTCCCGCCCCCTGGCGGCTCCTCCGCTGAGCGGCCGCTGGGGGCGGGCGGGGCTCCCCTCGCCCCCCGCCCGGGCCCCGCCCCCAGGGCCGGGCGCGCGCCCCGCAGGCCCCGCCCCTCAGGGGCGCCTGAGGGAAACGACCCCTTCCCTCTGCTGAGGCTGCTGCGCCCGCCAGTCTGGCTACGCCTGCAGCGGGTCCTCACGGATACAGAAAATACGGGATAACCCGATACGGGAAAACCTCGAGAAAAGGAATGCCTGCCCTTTTGCTCAGGGGATGGGAGCAATTTAGCCAAATGCTTGCGTGCGCTTCACGTCGCCTTTTGTTCTACAGAAAAAACCTACCAAGGAGGCGAAGAAGCAGGTGTGAGTTCTGCAGTCCCCAGGGGAATGGAAGAGCTGCTTTCCTGCAGCTACACAGAATCAGTTAGGTAGGAAAAGACCTCTGAGATCATCGAGTCCAACCTGTGACCCAACACCACCCGGCCACTAGACCGTGGCACTGAGAGCCACGTCCAGTCTTTCCTCGAACGCCTCCAGGGACGGTGACTTCACCACCTCCTTAAACACATTCCAGTGTCTAATCAGCCTTTCTGTGAATAAACTCCTCCTATTGTCCAACCTAAGCCTCCCCTGGCACAGCTTAGACTATGTCCTGCAATAGTAACCCTCGACGTACACATATATTTACACATCTTTTTTTTTTTTGACATCAAGCTAGTTAGTGTCAAAATGCACCTGATACAGGGACATGGAACCTCGGAGTAAAAATGTCTATGGATGCCGGTGTTCGAGTACAAAGGGAGATTAACTGCTGGGATTGCTGTTACTTGCATGCAATCTATTGCATTTCCAGACAAAAAAAGGTTAAAAAGAGAACTGTCAAGGTTTAGGAACTATCTCTAATTCAGTGAAGCTTTAAATCAAGTTAACATTCTCACAGCCCTTGGGGGATTTTCATAATTTCTGTAACATGCAGTGTGTTTTTTAACTTTTCAACAGAAGCCAATTAGTTATGTAAGCAAATTGGCTGGACAATTATGCAAATGAAAAAATAAATTTAATTGATTCAACAGAAAAGCATGCTGTTTGTTTCACCTGGATTTTCACTTGCTGAGGAATAAAATAAATGGGGAGAGGTCATCAGCAAGTGCCAGTGCCAGATACCAACTCCACCGCTTAGGGTACATATTTTCAAACACCCATCCTGCCCCAGATCAGGAATTAATTCCTGCTTTTTATCTAAGTCCCAACATTTCTTGTGCTGATGGGAGTACTACTGTGGTTTTATCTGGTCATGATATTCCCTATCCATATATCCATACCCAGGACACATCCCACTAGCTCAGCAAGAGCTGCAGAGATTTCTAAATGGAAAGCTTGTTTTATACCAGATAAAATTATCATCTGAAAAAGTTTGTATTTTGATGTCTTGAGCCCTAACAGAGAATTTTAAACATTCTTGCTTCTTAGTTCTAAGTTGCTACAAGTGGCAATTGGAACTGTTTTCTCCTCACTCGTTTGTTTCTGGTTTGGTTGGTTTCCTTGGTTTGTGAAAGGTCAAAAAATAGCATCAGTTTCTCCAATCCTCTCACATGCAACGGTCCAGAACTCTGAGACGACCATGCCAGTATCATTCTGATACTACACATCATTCTAGTAATTAAAAAAAAAGTTAATGCAGGAGTGTAGACTCAAAAATATAGAGCTGGATTTGCAAAAAAACCCCTCTCCAAAAAAACCACAAAGGTGTGAGATGCATCTGGAGAATGTGAAAGGATAAGAAATGTGAATAATTGCTTTTAATGTGGCTAAAGTTTATTAAGCTGAGGAGTATGACATTGAGACTTTAGTAATTAAACTTCTACTACTACAGCAGAGCTATTTAATTTTGCTATCTCTCCTCAAGTGAACTCTTACTAACATCCATTTGAATTCTTCAGTGAACTGAGCACAGCCTGTAACCCTGGCTGCAGCCTCCACTCCCAGTTAAAACTGGAAGCTGGCCATCTCCACAGCTGGGAGTTTCAGCCCAATTTATTCATGAGCATTCGCTACATTGTGTGCTCTGGTGTGATGAAGATCCGCATAGTCTGACTGATTTCACACTTTCTCAACTTCCTCATGTGGCATATCATTCTCCAGGCTCTTGTAGTGGTTACAAGATATTAAACTCTTCACCTCTACTTTGTTGCTTGCCTATTTTGCTGCATATCTAAGAGTGTTCATTACAAAAATCAGAATATAATTAAATAATTTAATGACAATACAGACTCAGATATTTTGAATGCTTTATATAAATATTAAAAAACATTTATTAACAACTTAACAACTCCTCCAAAATGCTCCCCCTCCCTCCCCCATTGCTCTTTATAAAACACCATAAAACTATCAAGGTCCTACTTCCAGTTTCTCACCTCTGTCCTGCATCTTGAAACTCTCAAAATTATCAATATTTGAAATAAAATTGTGGTAAGTCTTCCAAACCACATTATTCTGTTTTAGTTACAAGAAACTGTCCATACCCAAACAAAAATAAGTTTTCCAAGAGCATAGTGTGAAATCAGTGAAAACTGAAGAAAGATTTTCACAGAGGGAATTTCTCATGTATCCAACAACATACTGAAGGAGCACAGTGTTGTCTACTCCAAGCTGCTGAGCACAGCACAGGGAAGTTCTTATTTGCACATTTTTCCGTCTCTCGCTGAAAACAGGTAAACATACATTTTATTTCCTACATGAAAAAATGATACCAAATATGTTGTTTAATGTCAAACAGAAGTCCTTTCAGCTTAACTTATACTGGGAGAAAGCAAAAATATGGATATTGCCTACTGAGTGGCTGGCTTTGCAAAACTGCATTGCCTCTGCTGTACTAAACGTTATTCTTTAGGATACTTTTTCCATCTTTCCAGGCTCATTTCCATTCCACAGTGGGGTCTTGTCCTGTTTGGCACATGGAATTTCTCTAACCAAAATACTGAGAATGTTACTGAGTGTTACTCTGGCCTTCTGATACACATCAAACTGGTGAGAATTGCATTGTATTTCACGTGGACCCAGACAGAACAAACAGTGAAATACAGGACTTAACAGCAAAGTTGTTTCAGTTGCCTACTGGCTTATCATGGTGATAAATGGAAAAACACTATATTGACACAAACACTAGAAGCCTCAGTTGTAACAAAACTTCTGGGGAGCTTGCTTTGCTTGTTAATATAAAACATGACAGAGATTACATGCTATCAGCTGAAGATGATACTCAGGAGATGGAGCCAAAACATTGCAAATATTTTACACAGTTCCAAGTTAAGCTTGAAGGTCAATGATTAACCTTTGAAAAATAAAGCAACATTTGGAGTTTTGTTCTGAGGATGATCTAAGTGAAAATTCAAGGCTGCTTATAGATGAAAAAATTCTGCTGTCTCTAGAACATCACAAGTTTTGAAGCCATACAAAGAGAATTTTGTCCTTCTGTGTCTGTCAAACACACTATTAGCCACATCGGGTACCACTCACAGAAATGTGGGAGTTAGCTGAGGTTCAGATAGCCTCTGGCTTATTCCAAGGGAGATTAAGCCACAAAGGATCTTACAAGAAGTAATTAGCAAAACTGACTTTGCTTCTTACTACCAGTTTTAGTTTTTGGAACCTTTCAAACTTGCTCTGTACACTAATGCTAGAGTGCCTGCAAGAGCATCAGTTTAGATCCCTCACCTGAAACCTGATTACTTCTTACCCAGTCTTTCAGCTACTGGGAAGCAAAATCAGCAGAATCCAGTTAGACTTGACCAGGTGGACACCCTTACAAATGGCAGAGCTATCTTCATGCATGTGAAGGGGTGGAACCCAAAGTTTGTTTGGACCAGTGCCAACTGTACTCTAAGACTGAGGTGAATGGCTTCTACAGAAATGCCATCTGGTACCACTGGTACTGGATCTACCATTTTTTACAAGGCAGGCAGATGATCCCTACAGAAGAATGATACCCTGTGAAAAAACAAGTGTCTCTATCCTAGCATTTTTCTGTACAGGTGGCACAGGAGGAAAGCAGCAATCTTGGTGGTCATCAGATTCAATTCTCTCTTCCAGTAGCAATTCCCTAACAGACTGGATGAGAAGTGGTATTGAAAAAGTTCAGGACCTGGCCCTCAGGAGGTCAGGAATCCAACAACTGACAATCAGATTCATGACATCAGATCAATGGCATAAACCACAAGAGTGGAATGGCAACCTGCCCTAAAGACAAAAACCCCTGACACCAAAACTCTCCTCTCAACCATCCAGTACTAAGGTCATGATGGCTTTCATGATTTAGAGCTGCAAAGCACATGTGAAATAATGCTGCAGGAACTGGGAATAGACTTATGCTACTGCAAAGGAGAGATATTTTTCAAACACTGAGGTCCTGTGCCCCCATCTTAATCTCACTTATGATGGAACAGCCTAAAAACTCATGAACTTCTATACCCAAAATAGCTTAAGTGTTCAGAACAAAAGGCTTTAAAGGGGATGGAGAGCAGACCAAAAGAGCTGTATTACTGGCAAGTTTGTGAAGGCTGGTGCCAAAGATCTAAACTAACAACACTACAAAATTGGTGAGCTCAGTAAGTATCAACTTTGACAGAGGCTGTATTGTTTTGCCATGAGAGGTTTTCTGGTATTAAATGTTTGGTTCTTCTTACTCAGGCTGTAGAATGTGTCTTATGCAACTCATGCTTTGAATGTGCTTTGAATGTGATTCAGGATTTTCAGGTGGAAAAAAAGCAGAAATCCTGAAGAACCAGGAATGGTGAAACAAACTTGCTAGAAGTCTCCATCTCACCCTGCAGTTGGCAGAACCTAGAAGATGGGCAAACCCACCTCTCTCTAAGAGCACAATCAAGGAAGAATGCAAGTTTTCCTTTTCAGTGGAAGCATCCATATACACAAATGTGAAACCATACACAAGCTACTGTCTGCTTCAAACAAACAGCTAATTAGATTATCAACTAAACCTTCAGCTGTGAGCAACGTGTAGGCTCTCAGTTCTGTGAGGAAAGGTATCCTAAATCAGGCATATCTCAAGTGATTCTGAAGTTATTTTATTCTCAGTGCTTTTTATTGGGCTTTTGGAGCAAAGAAATTAAGATCTAAGGTGCAAACAGTTGGGACAGTGACCTCACAAGTTACTGTAAGGCAGACAAAAGTAAATAGGTGTTACTTCTACAGACTATGAATGAATGTGGAAAATGTTTCACTCAAGAACAGCAGATGCACTCAACCAATGTACTTACCTACACTTTTATCTATGCTTATATTATACTTATATGATCACCTGCTGGGAGAAAGAAGCTAAGTGCTAATTCTTTGTAAGAATGGACAATGTAGTTTCTGAGGCTGCAACTTCCTCATTATGGCGATGCCATTGCAAAACATCTACATAAGTTAGTGTGATAGTTAGGGGAAAAATTGCTATTTCTGTGCTACTCTCTGCATTATCATCAATACAGTATTAAAAAACACAACTTGAGTTTGAAACCTTGCTGTAAATCAGTAAGGCACAGTCTGAACACAGTGGAAACTGTTTAGTAACTACTGGGACAGCCAGACCTTCTCAGCCCATTTCATATTCTCCTGCAGCCATTTCAGAGCAGATGAATGCTCCAGTCTATAAACTTCTTCCATATTAACATTCACTGTCAAATGCTTAAGAAAAAGCTTTGGATCAGATAAATGAGCTGCCTGGATCAGCCTCTCCACTGCCTCGTGATAGGCACTGTTATTCTGAACTGTTTCTTCAGATCTGTAAGGCAATTTTAACAAATATAAAATTAGGTACCATACAGGCCTATGTGTCACTTGTCTATCACTTTATATTGGCAGGAAAGTGACAAAAACATTCAAATAATGCCTTGTATTTTTCACTGATAAATATTATGCTAATTTCTAGACAGATTATATTACTGTTCTGAAGAATTAAAAAGTTATAGAAAGAGTATTTTTAACATCTTTAATGGTAATGAAAAATAGTAAGCCTTAATACCAGTGCAAAGTAGCTCTGCAATACTCACAGCACATTTAATGAAAAAAAAAAAGTAAAGGAATGCAAACCATTTAATGAACTGGATATAGCAAGAATTCATGTACATGCTGAATCCATAAGGTTCACTCAGTTTTGGCATGTAATTACTTTTGGAACAAGGCTGTGCCTAAGTGACATGCCTACATTTTTTGCAAAAGCAGAACTTACTATTTAAGAAAACAAACAGATATACAGTACCTTACACATGGGAACAAGAGATAAAAAACTTCTCACTTACCCAAGGAACAAAAGGAAGAGATGTATTCTTTGAGAAGGATAAGGAAATCAAGATCTATTACTTACATGATCACATGAATAAATACAATCAAAATGGTACATATCTGACAACAAACCTTTTCAGTATTATTTGAAGAGTCTGGCTAGTAGTCCTTGAACTTTGAATATCACTGGCATTTGAAACAAGAAATATTTCAATGGCCAACAGCATCTCAACTTCAGACAGGTAAGAGGGAACCTTCAGAAGTTTGTGATATAAATTTCCCTGCAGCTCTGGGTAGCAACCCAGTGATAAAGCATCTGAGAGTAAATGCAGAAAATGAGGAATCAGGATTACCAATACTAAACACAGATCTCTCTTCTGTGTGACTAAATGTGGAAAAACCCCAACCCCCAAGCCTTAATGGATTTTACCATTTCACCTATGAAATGGCCTGACCGGAGAACACAGCACACAGCACTCACACTAATATTCACAGTTGTAAAATGTTGGGATTTTTTTTCAATGAGTTTTATCAGCTATGATTAAAAAGCTGTGTTAGAAGTCTGGAGACAGCAAGTCTGTGATAACACAAGTACAATTTAGGCAGGTCAGAACAGAAGCTGTTAATCATGGTCAAAGTGAGAGAACATTTGAACAGCATCTCCTGCTTTGTTCCCCTTTCTTCTGTCAAGTGATCCCAGCAACCCAACAAAGCATTTCAGGGAAAAAAAAAAAAAGAGATGAGGAAAAACTCTAATTCCAATGTTAACAAAACCAAGTATCCATGCCAGAAAGGATGGTCTCTTAAAGCAGTCTGCAAACCGCAATGATTCTAAGGCAGAACCAAAAAGTAAATAATGTGACTGTATGGAGAGACCCTCTGCAGAATGGCTCATCCAGTATTACCTTAGCTCAGAAATGGGGAGTTGAAAACAATTACAGACTATCAGTTTTTAGTTGAAAGGAATTTTCTTCTAGTTAGGATAAAATAATTAGCTAGACTTCTCAAATCTTAAATATTAATAATTTTACCACCACAGAGATGCTGGTACACTTCTAGAGAAAAGTATCAGGAAATCTAATTTGCCTAGATGAAAATGTGAAGATGATGCACTTTTCAATCATTTCAGAACTCACATACTCGAAATTCTGGAACTGAATGTAAAAAATTAATTTATCACAACTACATTTATTTCATGCCAGGTAGTATGCACTGATTCTTATTTTCAATTCACCATTTCCTAATAAGTATTTTTGGTTACAAATAAATTCCTGAGAGTGACACAGAAAGCAGTGTTTTTCTTCTTACTCATACTAAAATGTTATGAGCACATTATCTAAAGAATGTAAGGGGAGGATATTGTTCAACAAGGAACTTACTTTTGTAATAGGTCCTAGCTTTGGACCATAAAGAACTTCTTCCCAAAGCTGTGATTAATCCTCTAAGTAAAACAAAATCAATAGCAATTTTTTTGGAAAGCATGAAGTCTACTGCAGAAGATGAGACACCAAGGTTCTTGTTCTCAAAACAGGCATTTATCAGCTTGTTAAAAAGGCAGCTATATTGAGAAGCATCTATAATATCTGAAATGAAATTAAAAATATTAACTACTGAATCAATGAAAATGCAAATCTAGTTGAAGGATCATTTTCTCAATCAGTACCTAAATCAGAACTCTTGCCCCTATCAGCAAGATGGAACAAGGTTGGGATAACACGAATGCTTTATTCATCAAAAGTCTTTCCATACAGTAGTTTGTTCACATTTCGAAGGACAAGTGTTAAGGTTCAAGTAAGAATTTGCTGCCAAAACCAATAGAATCACATAAAAATACATTCACTTGCTCCAGCCTATAAATACAATCTTCATCTGATCTCTCAGATTTAAGATTTCCACCAATAAAAACCCCCTTGGTTTTCTGCTTCTACTCTTACTCTGAACTGTCACCTTTTTGGCAGGACTGAACAGCCTTGCTGTATTTACCTCATAACTTGAAGAACTAGGTTCCTTTCAGTATTCTCTAAAGTAGATTGTTTTCCAACCAATGTCTCCTAAAATACCTAAAAGTGGCAGTAGACTGAGAGCCCTACACACAGGAATCAGCTGAGGTTTCCTCAGTGGAGCCTAAGTAACTACATATCTCATTTTGAAGTACTCATCCAAAATCTGTCAGATAAATTGAGCCTGACAGAGCAGTTGGTTCTTAACATGGTACATAAGAGATGCTTAGGTTAGCCAGCTCAGTTAAAGAAAAAAATCCCCACCTCATTCACCTGAAATTAAGATAAAATAAAATTAAAATATTCCTAATTTATCTCACTGTATAGACTGTACAGATCCTTAAAAATTTAATGAGTCTTTCTGTTGCCCTGCATAGTAACTGAGCAAAAGAGGACGGGGGTGTGTGCACAAGTGCAGCAAGAGCTGCAGAGCACAACACATATTTAACTGACACTATACTCTTTGGAAAACACAAACAGGCTTGTATAAACCCATCTTACTTCAGCAAATTTCAGTTAGAAAACAATACAAGAACAGCACAGAATCATCTGTTAAATTTTTAGCTCTTTACACAGTATCTTCTTCTTTACTTACCAGAATGTTTCTGCAAACCCGGTAAGTTCTGCAGAACTTCAAATGCCTGCCTGTACAAACTCTTCCTCAAGTATTTGTGCACTATTGCACATAACAGATTATGTCGATTGAGGATGTCCATTTTATCACAGGGCCACAACGGTGCATCTGTGATCCACTCTGACTCTGTGGCAAACAACAGTGCAGTGTTATTTCCAGGAACTGGAACTTCTGATGTTGAGACTTTGAGCCATTAAGAATGTAATGTACACTGTACCATGACACAAACCTCAGAAATGCACAAGAAGTGCACCTTGACTTATTAATAATTTGTTTCTCATGACCAATATTCCTTAGACTGATTCTCTGAACTGTTATATTGCAAATCATCCCTTTTGTGAAATATCACTGCAGTAAAATGGACTGTCTGTGGCACATATAGATATGTATGTATCAATGTACAGCTATAAAACTGAACAGCAAATTTACATCCTCAATATCACTTTACAGCGTACATTCTATTATTTTTACTTCCGAATTTCTTCTATTTTCAGCAGATCCGAGTTCCAAAATGCCATATGTAATAATTGCATAAATATGGTTCTGTTCTAAAGCAATTATACTAAATGAGGATCCTATGAGGTGCAAAGTAACATTGCATGGACCCAAGCCAGAAATTTGACACTGAATGTCCCCTGGTTCAAAGGAAAACTACACTCCCAGCATGGGACAGCATCATTTTCCAAGCTGCACTCCTCCTTCATTATGGCAGATTTTTAGGTAGAATGGTGTTGATAGTAGAATACTGTGAAAGCATCTGAAAAAATTAGTTGTAATATTTCTTATACATATAAAGAAGAACATTAACCAGTAAGACGATCACCTTTCCGCTGCCTCAGTATTATTGACTATATTTAGTAACACAGACCAGCTTGTAACTTTTCTCAGAAATCTGTCATAGAAGTGAACTGTTCAAATTTAAGCCAAAATTTTAACACAGGCTTACCTCTCAATACCCTTATTGCTCCATCCAAATGTCCAGAATAAAGAAAGATTTCTGTGGCTTTATTAACAATCTGACATCTGGATGCTGACTTCCCTGCACCTACAAGTCCTTTCAAGAGTGTAAAATCTATCTGTAGCTCATGCAGTTTATCCAAAACCTTCCTTCCCTGGTGTAAGAGGGAGAGGGAAAGAGGGAAGGTCAGAGAAAGCAATGGTACCAGTGAACACAGAGTATATTTACATAAAATATAACAGACTTAATTTGATGACACAGATTTATAGGTATTGATGCAGTTACCTGTTCCAAACTGAGTCAGGGGTGAAGTCTAGTAGAATTTCAAATGAAGAATTTTGGGTTTTTTTACTATGTAGACAAAAAAACTCTACCAACCTATTGTCGAAGAGTTCCCAACACACTATTACCCGTAACATTATTTCTACTATATAATGTTCAATACAGTATTTTAAATATATTTTGTAATTTATTTTTATGTGCCTACTTTGGTTTAATATTTTTAATTTTGATTTCATTCAGTACTACACGATCTAAAAAGATCATACAGACAATTTTCATTGTGCAGCAGAGACATAATTGTTAAACTGAAATAATTACTCCAGTGTAAGTCAAAGAAAACACTGATGATTGTAAGCAGCAGGACACTGGGCTTATCTGGCCAACATTGTAACAACCAACAACTTTATCATCACATTCCAGATTGGTATTTAGACTGGTTTTCTTCAGAAACTTCATCTTAACAACTTTTTGGCTGTTTGTTGCATGTTTTTTTGAAGTACATCTATTTTATGAAGTTTCCTTACCTCTTACAAAGAAAATTGTCTTCAGGACCAAGCAGCATACATATTTTACCCCCAAGAGCCACTAAAGCTCTGCAATAAAGGGGTTTGATGTTCTTGAAGGAAAAATTATATGAAAAGCACATTTAGAGTTTCAGGCAGTCCAACATATTTATAAAACAGCACAGGCCATGTCCTAAAGCCAAAATTAACTTGGGCAGAGCAGGAAGAGCAAATTCATTACTATCATACTTTCTGGACTACCTTTTGGGCAAAAGAGACATGGATCAAGTAGATACTAGCCCATCAGCCCAGGATTAGGGATATATCTGATATATAATGGAGTGAAACAGGTGGAGAGAGGTAAGAATGACAGCTTCCTGAAGCAGAGATGAATTTGGGATCTGCCAGTTTTGACAAAAATCATTCAGAGCAGAACCTCATTCACACTCTAATATGGTGAACACAGGTTGTCTACAAAGCTTTTTGAGGATCTTGGTCAGTAAACTCTTGAGAAGTAGGTTTGATACTAACACAACACTTTCAAAGAAATAAAGATCTTTTGCTCTAGACATGAAAGAAATCATAGTATTCTAAGTATCTACTTTTAGTAACTCATGTTGTATGAGAATAACACTATATGTGCTTCTCACATATTAGGAGAAGAAATTAGGACATGAAGATGAATCTCCTTGAAATATCAGGGGTTATGCAATCCAAGATAAGGCTCTCCCTTAAGATGGACTGGAAAACAGCTAAAATGTCTGAAGGCACATAAACACTGTATGCTGAAGAAGACAGCCAAAACCCAAGCCAAATGAAACTCTTCAGTGGGCATGTGAGCACTGCCACTCCTCAATGCCAAGAATTTAGATTCTCTCTTCTGTGGTCAGGAGTATCTTAACTGCTCTAACTGCTAAGTTTTATGGAACAAAAAACCCTAGAGTTCTAGTGTAGTATTAGTCAAGTGCTAATAAAAAGACCCCCTCTCCTTCCCTTTACTCTTAAACAGCACCGCACTGTGCTGCAGCTTGAAAGGGACTTGCTGAAGACCATTCAACTGATTAAGGTGATGCTTAATGGTTTATCAGAACAGGCATCCTGTCTCTAGACCAAGCATCTCTACTATATATCTCCCTGGCTTGACCCTGGAAACAGACTGAGCAGTGCACAGGTTTTTTACATAACAGAATTCCTGAAGGGCATCCCCTAGAGACAACTGTACAAAAGACAATTTAATTCCTCGATGTGAACTAGGAAGGGTTCCCTGATGGTAATTTGCACAGAAAACCCAACCCAAAACTTCAAGAGACAAAAGGGGATTGAAAGCATTTCCTTCTGTTCATAAAAATCATCCTGTATGGGATGACAAACATCCCTGAGGGCTTGTGGATTGACCAAGGGGGGAGAATTTCTGGGATGCTACACATCCCAGTACAGCATCATTATTAGCTGAAAGGACCAGGCCCAAATTCAGAATGGGATCACTGACCAAAACACAATCTAAAATAACTGGGGGTTAATATTACTTCTTATGCTATCACTTTTCATGTTACTTTCTGTAAGAGATCTAGTTTGGTATGCACTGGTTCCTTCCAGGAAGAAGAAGACAAATTTAACATTGAAATGGATCTTAACTGCAGTGAAATGATGACCAATACTGTCTGGAGCATAAGGAATGTAAAAAATATCCAGTCAAAAGTCTAGTCTCTTAGCTCTGGCTCTGTGTAATGTTTGATAGCAAAGATTTGATTGTAAAGGTATTTCTTTGTGACCACTGGAGTTTTACAAGATTCACGGAACTTAGAAACTTAGATTCAGTGGAAGAAGAGCACTTCAGCAGTTCTGGGGAGCAGGGAGATGACCAAGCACAGATGTGCTATACTGATTTTCTGTCTTCCGGCCTTATCCATTCTATTTGAGGTCAGATGCAGAAGCACCAGTGCAGGAAATTGCCCAAACTTCTCTAAATATCACTTCAGCTGGGAGGTCTCAGAATACAACATGATTGCCAAGTGGAAGAAAGTAATGTTTCTGGGAAATAATGCCATCAGCACATCACCTCAGAATCTCAGGAAGGCCTGTCTCTTAGTTCAGATTCAACCTCAGCTCAGAAAAATCACAAAATGAACATGAACAATCAGTTTCTAGGTTGTAAGACCAAGTTATGACAGGCTCCATAGAAGACTACTGCTGAGAAAGCCACGATAAATGTGTTGGTCCAGCTGGACAGTTAGAAAGTGCTAAGAAAGCAGGGAGGCAGGTGGCACACCCAGTCATTCCACTAGAGAAAACAGAGTTTAATATCCAGAAGAGAAATTGCTAATTCTTTTTCTCTTTTTCTTCCAGTCAGGCTCCTGTAGAACTGCATACCTTTATCCACTGCAGTACTTTGTGATACGAATACATTACGCTTATCCCAGTCCTTCCAATGAAAAGTCTGTCTGCTTTATTATGCTGGGAATTTTTCATTACTGGAAAGGAAAAGAATAAAGCTTATTTGTTTATTTATTTAACATGTAAATGCAGTTTTAAAGAAATTACACATTTCAAAAACACAGTAATTGTGAAAATACTAAATGAATTTTCTGAAATACTTGCCATTAAAAGCAGCAACTTCCTAAGTCTTAACATCAGAAGGAGAGTAAATAACTATAGTTTATTCAGACAGTATTTCATAGTAGTCCAAGTGATCCATAAAATGACTGGACATGTGATGGCATAATTTAGTAACATCATTACTTGTAAAGTAAGCTTTACATTTTATGGCACTATGAAGAAATTATGGCAATTGCAGAACTGAGTAATTACAACCTCTTTGGAAGCACTTAGAATTTTTGAGCAGTGGTCTCAAAGTAGGGTGTGAGTACAGCAATCCATTCAGCTGCGGGAAAGAAATATTTTTTGTACTATTAGAAAATAAAAATAAGTAAAATACTTTAAAAGACAGTGTTTATTTAATATTTAGCTTGTATTTGTAATTCCTGTTTTTGTGTACAGTTTATAGAGAATTCAATATAATGGTATATAACATATAAATAAATTGTGTATATTTAATGTATATAACATATAAATGTATATAACATATAAATAAATAAATTGTGGGTCACTGCTCAAAAAGTTTTTACTGATGGAGGTGCCTATCAACTGGGAGACCACTGCTCTAGGAAAGACAGACTAAGTTCCAAGCTCCAACAAAATCTTCTCCCTCTGTCACAACTTGAAGCTTTTTTATGATATGAAAGTCTGTGGTCAGAAAGGATATGTCACATATCTGGAATAAATATTCATTATGTTTTAGTAGATAATACAGGTTGAAAAATATCTAAGTAATCCTTTGCAAAATGATTTAATATTCCACTGACACTTTACCAAGCCTCAGTAATCTGCAAACTCATTAGGAAGAATGATACAGATATGCAAATGAAGGGGCATAGGGAGGAAAGAGGCAAGAAAACCTGCCAGAACCATTAAAACACTGGGTTCTCAAGCACCCAGCCCTTGCAGAAACCATTGATTCTTTGGAGAATAAAATAATTCTAAAAATCCAATTTACTAAAAAAAAAAAGGTAAAAATTATATATGATGTAAACTGTTCAACGTGTTTTAAAACACACAAGTATATATACTTACAGCAGTAAAGCTTATTTATGCTATTAATATGATGTAACATTTTCATGTGACACTTTACATGAAAATACTGAAATACTTTTGCTGTTGTTCTGAGCATGGGTCATTTTTATTGAAAGATCATGAATTCTGGGTTCTCTTTTTGATTTCACAAAACTCTCCTCCTCCTCCTTCTGAATCTTCCTTAAGTGTAAGCATTTTATTTCTACTGGAAAACAGCTTGTACTGAACATTACAGCTGACAGTATTTACACCTCAAAAGATTCAGAACATTGTAACATAAAATTAACTAATAATCAGAAAACTATAGAATTAATTTTTTATCTCCTTTAAAACCTCTACGAAAACCACTTCTTGCATCTTAATTTTACCTATATCAGCAAAATCACAAAAAGGGACTCCTGGTCTGTCTGCCTCAGAATCCTTGGTTAGAATTTCAGCAATAGATAAAAACAATTTCTGAAGATCCACAAAATGTTCACATCCAGTTCTTGCATTAAGATACAAAGCTCCCAGCTTGGTCCAATCCCTTTTTTCCTTGCAGTGCTGAAAAGGAGGTAAAGGATAAATATAAGCAAACCTGATTCCAGAAAACCAAACAGAAAATAAAGTGAAATTTGAGATATGAACCTGGAATAAGACTTAAAGGAGAAAAAATGCAGATGAAATGCTACTGCCAAGAACATTCATGGTCATATGGCAGTTACATGTTGCCAAACTTGCATGGACTGCTAATTACTTCTATCCCTCAAGAAATTAAATTCCTTTTTTCATGTCATGACCCCAATTGAGAAAGCTCATAACTTATTCATCCTATTTAGGAACTGGCATTTATTCAGTATTTTTTTTCCCATGATGCATGCTGAGTTTATGGTTATTTTCTATATGAATTAGTCTTTTGCTTGCCAGATCACTTGATGACTGGTGTTAAAGGAGCAAAAAAATCAGTACTGTTTTTTCCCTTCTTATATTTCAATCTCTGCATCTACACAGTATGTGTGATAATATGCAAACTATATTATAATTGTGCATAATGAGTAATCTGACCTTGAACATGAAAGACACAAGCATCCAAATAAAGAATGTTTTACAACATTTTCTTATTCTTTAAAATACTGCTCAATGTTGTCAATTGCTCTGACAATTTTCTTATCTATTTTTATACCAGATATGAATTCCATCTGCCAAATATTGTATTAAATAAATTTTTGGTGAGGAGTGATGTACCACTACCAGTTACAAGCACAACAAATGTAAAGCAGAGGAAATAATTGCTTAAGTTACAAAATCTTTCAATTTGATGCAAAATGAATATAAAAAACTACAAGTATGTAAATCAAAAGACTCACATTACAGAAGGGCCAAAGACAGTTTTTCTCCTGCATGTTAACTCGTCCCACACATGGCTTTGCAGAAGCTCACTATATTTGATAATAAAGCCCACTGATTTAAAAATTTATAGAAATTGCTATTTCATGTAGGTTTTAAAGAAGTCATGAAGAATGCACATACTGTACCTGAATTTCAGCCACTGCTAAGTTGAAGTCAAAAATCCATGTCTTTTCAAAATATCTTTCCTTAATTCTTCCATAAGAAAAAAAAAAAAAAAAGAATACTTGAATTTTAACACATCCTATTGAACAACAAATTATCAAATATGAACATTAAATAGATGTGATTTTTGATCCTATTTGCTTCACATTACATAAACTGCACACTGGAAATGCTCATTTAAAATCTTGCCAAGGGAAGTTAGCGATGTATTAAACAAATAATTGAGCAGAGCTATTTTCACAGATGCTGCATATTTGGTTTCCACTAAGAATCAAAGGTATGTTTATGAATCACAAATTTAGTTTCTCAACTTTTTTGTATGTGTATTTGATGCAGACGATACAAAAATGAAAAAGGATCACCATCTGGTTCAAGAGATGGGGAAGTATTAGCAGTTTTTGAACAGCTTTGACATTTTGTCCAGCATATCCCAGCAGTACTCAAAAATTGACCCTCCTCCCTAGTAGTGCTGGCACAAATGTTTATGTAGTCACACTGTAAAGGAAACTAGAAAACTACTTCAGATTATAACTAATCCTTGAAGGGTTGTTTATTGCAGAAGTACCATTTGCTCAAGTGGGTAAAAGACACATTAATATTATAAATTATATATTAAACCACGATGTTTCTAATTTGGCTAGCTATATGAACTTCTATCACAGCTGGCAGCAAATTGTACAATGGTGATTGATATGGAAAAACTAGTAATTGTGGTCAGAATCTAAATTCTGATTTAACAGTGCTTGGTCTTTAAAACACAGTAGATTGACAGCACTTTAAAATACAATTGGGCATGATATGATAGCATTTTCATTCAACACATCTTTTAAGGACTCCACATAAATTTATAAAAATAGATGCTGAAGAAGGAGCTAAGCAGCTATAATTAGAGAACAGCTCCTTAAAGACATACCTGGACTTTATGTTCAAGACAGTACTCATTTCCCAACTAGAAACTTGCAACTGGCGAAGTAACTTAATAATGTAGTCAAAATGTTCTAACTCAAGGAACATACCAGCATCGATGAGCTGTAATATCAAACAAGGTAAGAGAAGTAAGCACATTAAAAGTTGTGATGACTTAATGCATCTTCAGAGGTAAATGGCAAACAACATTGGGAAGAATACATTGCAGTGAATCTCAGTCAAAAATGAAGGAATAAATGAAAATCTATACCACGAATTCAGCTACTCACAATAACATTTTTCATATTATTTCAGTACTGGTTTTTAAACTGATATGTTTGAGTTTTCAAACAGGCAATATGTGTAAATATAGTATTTCAGAAATTCCAACAAGCAGCAGTAGTACAAATGAAACTCATACCTTACAGAAGGTACTGATTAATGTAGGCACAGCATTTCTTATATTCAAAGAAGCCACGTGCTCAAAAACTTTCAGAAGAACTTCTATAGCTGGCTAATATAGACAAAAAAAAGCACATTCAGTTTTGCAACTCCCTTCAATTAGAAAGTGTAGAGATTTTGTAATAGGGTATTCTGAATTACTCCCCTCACCCAAGATTTAAGTACCAGAGTAAAAACAAACCTATTATGTTGGGAATTTAGCTGACTAGAGACTGGAAAAGTACAAGGCCGTGGCTAATTCCAAGTCCTGCACCTGCAAGATAGCGTGTCCTTGGGCCTAGCTGGGTATGATAACAAGTGGACAGAAAGACATGGGAAATAGAGAATGTAGGCCCAAAGGAATGAGGAAGAGTTGATGGTATAGTTTAACCAATAGATCGCTTGGCTTACAGAATATTCATAAGCTTATTATTTGCTGTATAAGTGTCTGATGCTCTCTTCAATAAACAGAACTTGCTGATGACTCACACTGAGCCCAGAGTTTTCCCTGCACCCGACAAATGGCTCATCCCTGACAAAGGCCTCATTCTGCAACACTATTACTATAAATAGCATAGTGCTCAAAAAACTGAAATTATGAAAGTAAGATTTAAAAAATATTACAAAGTCACCTACCAGTGTCTTGATTTGTACAATTACATTCAATATCTGAAATACTTCCGGCAACAAACAGTTGTTGAGCAATGAAAGAAGAAGATCATTCAGCACTTCAGAAGCAAAATCTATACCAGGAGTAACTTCTTTGTAATACTGCACGAATATCTGGACTGAAAAAGCAATGAAATTGAATTTCACTTTGGGGTTAACTGATGCTAACTATTTAAACAAGTTATTTCCTTACATTTTAGACACAGTGTAATGACATTAATTGTCCAAGATATTATGGAACAGGGATAGAGAAATATGAATGAAAGGATCCAGTTTGAATACAGAGTTAACCTTTCGAGAACCAAACTGACTATTCTGAAATATGTTGTATCATTGAGCTGAGCACTGTAAGCTCGGTAGGTTGCCAGCAAGTTTAGCTGATTTGGTGCAGCACAAGAAGAATGCACAAACCCAGGTTAGATCTGGTACATGCATCAAGGTAGTAAGGGCTTTCCAGACAGGAAGCTCTAAGAAGTGCTGTGTTACAGTGGATGGTCTTACAACCTGTTCCAGTGCCACCCTTCCTTGACAAACATGCTCTGTGGCCTGCTGGTCTCCAGTGTTACCCACATTAAAACACTCGTGTTCAGCATGGGAACACTGCAGCACACGGAGCAACTGAATTCCCCATTCTCATTCTGCTGCACTCTAAGAGGCTTTCAAAACCTTAAAGACTGCTCAGGACCGGTGTAAAAGAAATCACTGGCCAGAGTAAAAACAAAACAAAAGCCCTTTCTGACTGAACTCAAAAGCTCAGATGGGCCTGAATGAACTGCAGTCCCTAAAATGTGTTAATCATAATCCTTTGCATATATGGTGTAAGGACTAAACTAAATCTGTTGGGGGTGGGTGCAGTAGCAACACTTAATTTCAAGAGCTTCCATTCTCCCCTTTTTGGGTTTCTGATGTTTGGCCAGGGTGTTCAAAAGAACCTTAATAAAATTTAGGTTCTTTTAAACCTCCTACCTGCCCTATTTACATATTTCTACTCCCAAGTCTAGTTACAGTCAGGTATATTCATTTTATGGGGAAGTAAGATTTCTAAGAACCTCCTGAGCTAAGTGCTTATCTAAATTTCTAGCCTTACTGGGAAACAGAACCACTAAAACACAGGGACTGAATGTATTCTTTAATTTGAAGAACTTTTTATTCACTGCTGAAGTGGCAGTCATTTCTCTTTTGGCAGCCTATTTAATTTGCTTTAAATAAGCAAAGTAACAAAGATCATCAACAGCTACTACTATACCGTACCTGCACGTTTTAGGAGGCTTGATTCTTTAATACTAATGTATGTCCTAAGAATTGCCATGCAAATCTGTAAAAAAAGAAAAAAATGATAGTAAAATGTAACTTCAGTTTATGCTGAACAAAAGAACTACTCACAAGCATGAGTTCTATTATACAATGAGCTTTACATTGCTTCCATGTAAGCCATACATACTGAGAAATGATTTAAGAAGGTAATGGGGTCTGTAGGCAAAGGCTCTGTCAAATGGCCAGCAAATCAAACTGAAAAATAATGCAGATGCAATGTTTGGGAAAGAGGCTGCTGGGACCACAAATGTTTGCATGTGTATGTATATACTACAGTAAACAAAAAAAAGAAGAAAAAAAGAAAATTTGAAAATGCAGTTACTTCAGAGCTAGCATAAATGTGGCAGACTGTAAACCAAGAAAGGGAAGCAAAAATGTGAAAGTGAAACATGATAAGTAAAAATTTCATGAAACTACCAACTAAGAAATCAAAAAATCATCCAGAAATTAAGCTGGTAACACCAATTGTCACAAAGAATCATTCATAAGGACACAGAACAAAAAGCTCAGAACTAACTTGATTTAATGAGCCATTTTACCACAGACTGAAGTGACTAAAAAAAATCCACACCTAGATATTTTAATGTTATTTAGTATTGGAACATTCTTGTCTTAAGATGTTAAGCTGTCAGCTTTGTGATACTTACACATTTTACATATTTACATACTTACACTACTCCATCTCTGCAGATGAAGAAATAAAGACTACTGATGTTATATCTTAGAATTCCAAGTTAAGGAAAACCCCCACCCCCTTTTAGAAATTCTCTGTCACTTCTAGAACAGTCTTTCTTCACAACAATGTAAACTGGTCATATTTAATACTATTTTGTGAAATAGTTAAACATCAAGAGATGGAAAATGCCCTAAATTAGTAGTCATGGTAATATATAACTGAATCAGGTTTACTTTTACATGCAACTTCAAAATGACACAGGATTTACTCATGAAGTTCATTATGCAGCAAATTAATTATCATCAAAGCAAAAGACACTGGTTTATGGCCAAGACATCTTATTTTAAAGCCATTAACCTGTTTAGAGCATCAAGCCAAAGAATACAAAAATTATACATCTAAGTATAAATAAAGCATATTGTTTTTATTTGGAAGTAGTATTGCAATGTTGAGCTATATTCCAAGATATACCTTTCAGAAAAACATGTCAAATTTTTGATTATTAATTTATGTGAAGTGTCACTTGGGAACAGGTTAACTCACTTAATCCAAATCTATACTCCCAGGTGGCTGAGGGTATTTCCAGAATAAACTTTAGCTTACAGTAAGGAAATTAGTTTGCTTTCTTATGGAATCCATTTTTTTCCTTCTTTGGACTGACTCCCAAAAAAGGCCAAGATTGCATCTGGAGCTCTGTCTGTTCCAAGTATTGGTGAAATTGCTTGGACAACCACTTGTAGTAGCATTCAATCACGGGACATGCTGTATTACATTAATAAAAGAAACTAAATGTGTTACTCATTTACACCTTCTAGAAGGCTTCAGTTGATTTAGTTGTCCCAATTTTGAAAGGTGTAACTGCACCCACAGACTATGTAAAAATGTCAGAATCTTTAAATTTTGAGTTAGCTGTAACAGATTTTGAATGTAGGTACATGAAAGAGATTATTCCTCTTTTCAAAAGGCAGCATAGATCACACTATTCTGTCATGTCAGTTGTTTCCCTGACTCATATAACATGACAATTTAATAAAATCATAATAAAGGCCTCTGTGTTTTATACCACCAACCAACCAACTCTCCACTAAGAGCATGGTCCTACTACAATAACACAGAGGTGCTTATTCAGAAGAACAAGGACAGGAATTCACTAAAGACTCCAGCATCTCCCAGCCAGTGCCCATTAATAAGGAAGAAACCCCCATACTGCAGCCTTTATCTCAGTAAGATCAAAACCAGGATCCTTCTTACAGGAATGCTGTGGAAGCTTTGAGATGCACAATTCCTATTCAATGTGGCTGAAACTGACCAAAAAGTTCAAGGGTCATTTAGTGGTGGTTAGAGACACAAATAAAAGACAGTGTAGAATCACATTTCTTTAGGAAGACACATTAAAAAAACAAAACCAAAATCCACCACAACAGAAGCATATATCCAAGGCCCTGAAGTTTTAAGACAACACTAATGAAGGAAGAAATATTCCTATTTTATATATTTTTTGTTTCCAGTTAGGAGGTTCACAGGATGAAGGAAAAGGAGAATATGAAGTCACAGAAAATAAAAACTTCTTCAATAGGATAGGAGTAAAAAAGAAAATCAATGAGTGGGGCTCACGAAGAGAAAGAAAGGCTTGCATAACAACATGTTTTGGAACCACTTATTTAACCATGAAATGATTGCCCGTGCCACATTCTGAAATGTCATTTGAGCAAAACAATTTACTGTATTAAGCTCACTGTGTCTTGTCCTTTCACTGAGGACCATGGAGTAGAATCCAGCATCATCTCCTTTACCCTCTTCTCCATCACTGACACATATTGGTAAGACCCACCCTTCCCTTAAATACTCTGGCAAGTATTGAAACAGTCTTCTGTTTACTTTATCTAACACAAAACAGATTTCACTGTTTGAAAATGAAAGGCATCTTTTAAAAAAAACCCAAAAACTTGATAATTTGTACAACTTGCTGAGCTCAAGAATATTCTGCTTTTCAAAACATATGATGTTTTTATGAATTCAAGCATGGCTGTGTTGTGTGATCAACTACAACTGTAAAGTGTTAAATATTAGGAAGTTATGCTTTAAAGCATCAACCAGTTACTTAACGAAAAAGAAAAAACATCATTATGGGGAAAGGTATTTCTCTTCAAACACTCAGTGACTATTATCACTGAGAACTCTGAGCTCTAAGCAAGTGGACCATCAGTCTGCATAACAGTTCTCCTGGAGAGATTTATTCCTCCTGGAATAAATGATCCTGCACAAGATCAGATGCCTTTATAGCTTCTTTACCTGTTTTTCTTTTCTGTACTTTGGTGCCACCATGAGGTGCTTGGCCTATTATCATTTTTAAATGGACAGGTCTAAAAACATAAATACATACACAAACAAACAAAACTCAGGCATACTTTTAGACTACCAAGAAAGTTTGTCTAGGTTTGGTGGGTAGAAGTGTTAAAGTCTGCTGGAGTGCTGTACCACAGGTCAAATCAAATGGAATGGATTTTTAATAGTCTTAGGCAAACAATTTAGTGTGCCTGTAATATAATGAAGGAATAAAAACCACAATAATTCAGATAAACTATCTGAAAATTACAAATATTCACAACAGCCTGCCAAAGATGTATCACACTTGAGAAAAAAAGGAAAAAATGTTCCATATAAAATAAATACAAAAGAAAAGAGAAAACATTAAGAAAAATAAAACCAAATTACACTGATGTATTTTAAAAATTTGGACACAGTATATTTAAGATATCAGGAAGGTGGACAAGCTGCTTTAGGTGTTAATTTTTCTAGCAACCATGTCTAACAGGTTAACTGCAAGTAATTTTTTTATATTTTGATTCAGAAATTTTTTACTTACTGACATCAATGATAAAATTGCACTCATACCAGTAAGATGGTAGGTAAGAAATAAATCTTGTAAGACCTGATGAGGACAAGTTAGGCATTCGTTATTGGTTACCTGCTTTGATGTTTTTATTTACTTTCAGTTAACTTACAAAACTTTCATACAGCAAATTTCAAAATTTTTTTACTTGTCAGTACAACTAGCTTGCCTTGCACATTTCTTGGAAGCATTAAACTCAAAATGCCTCTCTTAAACGATCTGAAAATGATTTGAAAATTTGCCCATCATTGGAAAAATATTCTTGCTTGCAAACATTATGAGAATTGCTGCTCTATTTAAGGAGATTACAGCATCTTAAAACAAACACGCCTACTGTTGCACCAAATATGCACAAGGTAATATACCACAGATGGCTTTTGGCCTTAAAAGTACATACAAAGTCTTTGCACAGGTTTGCTTCAAGTCTCTGATGCCCAGGATAGAAATGTCTCAGAATCTGCTACTCTGTACTTGTACAGCCTAATTGCTGATGTATGTTAAAGCACTCACTAGTTCAAAATTACACCATGTTTAAAAAAAACTTTAGAAGATCTTGGGAGGAAGAATTTCTCAACAATTTTTTCATCCATCATTCTCTGATTGATTACTTACTTTCCACATATAAATGAACAAAGGAGATGATGCTTTGGTTTTAAAAAGTGTTCACATTTAGAATATTTTCCCTACTTCACTAAATACTTTACCTTTTCATCCCCTTGTCCTGGAACATGACAGAACCAACATTTTGTTCTTTCACACCCACGTGAAGTCATGAAATAGTATCTGCAGTATTTACGAGGCAAGTTAAGTGCATCAAGGATCTGCTGGACTGAATGAGAAGCCTGGAATAAAATAAAATTACAACAAGCAGAAAAAGCCAAATAATATTTCTTGAAAGGAAACATGGTCTTTGTTTTTTTTTTAAATTTAAAAATATCTACAAACTCTAAACAAAATCAGAAAATGTGATCTATAATTCAGCCTCTGAAACAACCCTCACCTCTCTACTGTACTTGCAGCATTTCTAAGATCAGTCCCTTGCCATATCACGTTACTGTCTAATACAACAAAAGCCTGCCTTGAAGACCACAAACAGGGATAATGCAAGAACTGCTTAATGAGATGGACAATGAGTAGAGAGGAAGGAGAAAGGTGACAAGTTCCTGCACAGCTCTGAGTCATCATCTGAGAATTCTGGGGCATCAATTTCCTTAACCCTTTTCCAGCGCCCAGCATCATGGATAAAGCAGGCTGTGGTGAACATGTGAAACCTTGTCTGCTTTTCAGTTCTATGAACAACAATAAAGCAAAAATAATTATTTGATTTTGCTTAAGCTGAAAACAGAAATCAAGAAAAATTAACTGTGAATAGCAGCCCCTTCATCACTGATTTTGTTCTTGTAAATTATACTTAGTGATAGCATCTTTAAAGGTGTAAAAACATAAGCATATACAGATTCACAGTTTGTGACTTGATACATGGGGAACTGTCTGAATAGCCATAAGAGATTTAGTGCCAAAGGCAAAGATTTAACAACTTACACTTGCATTTTTCTCCATCTTCCATGGCTCAAAATCTCCACAATTCTTCAATGGCAGTGAAGTACTTCTTCCTGAAGATTTGTAACCTAAAAATTAGGATGAGGGCACAAATCACATAATAAAATGAATCATATTGAAACCATTCTCATTTGTCTTATTTTCCTTTATATTTATAGTTCTTTCAAGTCACAGCAATGATTAATGAAAGTTTGATTAATGCAGTCTAAAGCCAGTAATTTAAATTACAGTTTTCTTAATTATCCTAAAAGTGAGACTTTACACAAACTTCAAGAGTAAGCACATTTAAATTAAAAACTTCACTACTTTATCCAAGGATCCTGCTCTAACTTACAGAGATAAGAAAAGGAATAAAAATATCCAGAAGTTTTAATTTCAAAACCTACCCACTTTATCAGTAATCTTTGCATTCCAACATCACTAGCCCTAAATTTAAGCTATTTTTTCTGAACTGATAGAAAACCTTTCATATTCTTATGTTTTAAGCAATGCAAGTAGAAAGTTTAAGCCCAGTATAAGTAACTGGTTTCTTAACCATGAAACTTGGTTTTAGAACTTTAATTATTATTGAATGGCAGTTTTCTTTCTTTGAAAACTGAATAATGTTAATGGAAGATAGAAGTTCAAGTTTTCAACTCCATATCTAAAGACAAATGAGAGTTTTTGAATGCCCTGCATTCTAGGATTCCCATCTGGCCCCTTTGAAGAAGTGAGTGCTCAAAAGACAGGGTGCTTAGCCCCTTCTAGCAAACTAAAGTTACTAATGAGCATCCAATAATTAATGTTCTTCTATAGACTGGCGCTAGGTACGTAGCTCTTAATCTCCATGTCTTCCTCACAGATAGGGCTATCCCAGGATAGGAAGCTTAGAGCACAATGTAGAACAATGAGTATTAAATGTTATGTGTTAAATATCCCTAGCTTTAGGGATTCCAACATGATGTATTGTCACATTGCAAAAACTTGTGAAGTGACAGTGGGCTGCAAGTTCAGGATTGGATACATTTAGTATTCAATCCAAGAAAACGGCTGAGAAAAGACCTCAGCTAAAGAAAAATGCCATGGGGAATTTGATCTTTCTCCAGATTCTTGCCATCCCCAAGCACAAAGTTTTTGACCAGCTCCTTTCAAGAGTTTGCATTCTCCCTTGCTGACTGTGGGTCAGACTTGTAGGGAAGCAGGCCCTGAAGTGGAATAGCAAATCCTGCCTGCACAGTTCTGGGAATAAAAGGCTGCTTTGCCCTGTCTGTCCTAGCACAGAAACTCTTGCTTTGGCAACTTTCAAATAACTTTAAGAAGGAAGACTTTGAAGAGATCTTCAGAAGGTGTACTCTGAAGGCCCAAGACACGAATAGTTTCAAACAACTGGAGTCTGAAGACATATTCAAAAATTATTTTATAGCACATGCTTCTTGCACTACCTGAAAATGCTGTTAAATGACATGATGATAAAATTGTTCTACAAGCTCAGACTGACAGTACAATTTGAAACTAAACAAGAACCCCTGTCACTGATCTTAATTCAAGAAATCCATGTTTATAAATAGCCATTTTAGTCAATAATTCTAAAAACAATGATTTCCAAAGCACCTGTTGCAAAGAAACAGGATGCAGTATCTATCCACAAGTAATTGATTCCTATTTTTCTCTATCTTGTATGCCAAATAAACCACACATTTATGCAAGGCTAAATGTCAGATTTGTTACGTGCAGTGACTCCAGTTCCATTATGATTTCTCGGGTGGCACAGATATTTGTCCCACATGTGAAACAGACTGGGTCAACAAGAAGTGCTACTTATGAAATCCATATAATTATTTGATCCAGTCTAGTGAATGTCTCAAAACAATTTGAATTGGCATAAACAACAAAGTTCTGACCTTCAGCAAGGTGGGCAAACCACTTCAGCAAATCTTACTAAGAACAATCAACCAACCCAATCTGCAGTCACATTCTCTGACCACAAATAAAGGGAAACAAGTTACTTGCTGAAAACACATGTCAAACACAATGTGTCAGACTACTAAGAATGCATGCGCTCCCCTACCATTAAAGTATCTGAGAGGCAAAAATACCAGATAGAATTATTTCTAGAATAGAATTTTGCTAAAAACCCAACCCCAAACCTCTCACTAACCCACCAAGAGATCTTCCAGTTTTACTTTTATATATGCAAAGTAAAACTCCAGTCAGTATCTTCAGGAACTGAAGACAGTCCTTACGATTTCATTGGCAAATAAAGCACAAATAAAAAATTATGACGGGCTCATCAACACAGCATACAATACCATTTGTCCAGGATTTCATCTCTGTAGTTCCACTGAAGATATTTACTTTTTGGTCATTCAATGGCAATCCTGATAGCAATTCACAGTTCACTTTGTATTTACAGTCACTGTTGAATATTAAAAACCAAAATTTTGTTAAAATTAGTTAACCAAATTTAACACGGGTTCCATTCATGTACTGCATGCCTTAAAAGAAGGATTAAGTGTATAAAAGATGAGAATTTCTTCAACACTTTATGCAACACTTTATGCAACACTTCAAAACTTGCCATAAATTTAAACAGCCAGCAGTCCCAACAATTTTACTTTCATTACTCTCATTGGCCTGGTCCAATCTGATTATGATTTTAGCTGAGATTATCCTGCCCTAGCGCATGACCATACAAAATTCAATAAATAAGTAGAAAACGCACCAGTGAACCACTCCCTCCACCATGCTGACAAGAAGATTGAGATGATTTCTGTCACCTCTGAAGAAGCATCTACTTAATCTTAGTCTGTTATGTAATATCTGCCAAAGAGTAAATCCCAAGGCTCTTCAAATTACATCTAAAGAGTCAACTCTTCTCTTTCCTAAAAACTGACTACTGGACAGAAGACTTAGGTGATTTCAAAGAGAACCCTAATTAAAGACTGTTCTGTTTTTATTCTCAAATATGTACATTCCAGAGAATTAAATGACTAAAATGCGGTGTTTTCAAAAATAAGATAAAAATATTGCTAGCAAAACACTTGGTCATCTCAATCTCTTCTGTATTTGTAAACAAAGCCACAGGGAAAATATAATCCCCTTTTATGAGATCTTGCTCCCCTTCCCCCTTTCCATTAAGAATCCTGGTTCAGTACAATCCTGGTTTTAACCTGCTTGCTCCTCTGCAGACAGAGTTGCCACCTCCTATAAGGGATTCCAGATATTTAACACTTCTCATAACCAAGACAATTCAAATAGTTCCTAAACTTTAGGATGTTTTCAATATAATTTGAAATAAAAATGCTAATGTAGAAAGAAAGAAATTGCAGTTAACAAACCCAAATTTTTCAAGACGAATCTTTATTCTCATCAATGCATTTGGGTTGGTTCCAGAGGGAACAAAAAACCTGCAGTTTTAGTTACTCAGAAATTTCAGATTACCACATAAAATCTTATGCTTCCTCATGATGCTAGCCTCAGTTCTGACACAACAGGATTTTCATAGCAGTTTCCCTTCAGATTTCTTTAATCTAAACATGAAACTACACACTATTTTGCCAGGAACTGTAAACTATATACATCTACAAGCATTTTTTTTAGTAACAGCATCACTAGAAGAGGAGTTTGCTAAATACGAACAGCAACTGTTTTCTTCTAGATAAAACTTTGCAATGGTAACATTTTTCAGTAAAACTAGCTAAAAGTTCAACTCCAAAGGAAGGCCTCTTCTCTAACCACACAGAGTACTGCATTGCACAAACATAATTTGTTCAGCACAATCTACTTATTCTGTAATATATAGAACTATTTATGCTACTAAGGCAAATTTAAATGGGTACTTTATAGCAGAAGGAGGAGCTTGGAGCTCTCTAGTGGATTAACAAAAAGATGCAGTATTCTCTAACAGACTTCTGGCAGACTCAAGTCTGTCACAGAAATGTGAGCGTGGTTGGAAAAAAGCAGGGCACTCTACTATGTCAGCTAAGGTTTCTTGGTTATTTTGAAAATTACTATATCCTAGTTTCAGCCAGGACAGGGTTAATTTTTGCAGTAGCTAATTGGTGATTACTGTTCCTAAACCACAACACTCTAAAATAAGCTATTTCTCTTCTAATTACTTGAGAATTTCATCCTAAGTATACCTTTCCTACAAAAACGAATTCTCTCTTATTTCTGGATTGCTGATGAATGAAAATGTCTCAGTCTGACAGTAATTCAGGCTTGGACAATCACCCACAGTATGAAGCTCAACAAGGGAAAGTGACAGATTCTGCATCAGGAATGGGACAGCCCTGCAAGCACAGACAGACCAGGGAATGAGAGGCAGGACAGCAGTGCTGTGGAACGGGACCTGGGGTCCTGGTTGATGGCAAGCTGAATGAGAGTCAGCAGTGCCCTGGCAGCCAGGAGGGCCAAGTGTGTCCTGGGGGGCATCAGGGACAGCATGTCCAGCCAGGCAAGGGAGGGGACTGTCCTGCTCTGCTCTACACTGGTGTGGCCTCACCTTGAATATTTTGTGAAATTTTGGGTGCCACAATGTAAGAAAGGCATTAAACTATTAGAGAGAGTCCAGAGGAGGGCAATGAAAATGGTGAAGTGCCTTAAGGGGAAGCCTGGTGAGGAACGCCTGAGGTCACCTGGTCTGTTCAGCTGCAACTTCCTCGTGAGGGGAAGAGGAGGGGCAGGCACTGATCTCTTCTTTCTAGTGACAGGACCCAAGGGAATGGCCTGAAGATGTGTCAGGGAAGACTTAGGTTGAATATTAGAAAAAAGTTCTTCACTCAGAGGGTGGTCAGGCACTGACAGGCTCTCCAGGGAAGTGGTCACAGCACCAGCCTGGCAGAGCTCAACAAGCATTTGGACAGTACTCCTGGGCACGTGGTGTGACTCTTGGCAATAGCGCTGTGGTGGGCCAGGAGTAGGACTTGATCCTCATGGATCCCTTCCAACTCAGCTTACTCAGTGATCCCGTGATTCTGTAAATCAGACTAAGAAATGTGTACAATAAACACTGCAAACACAGCTTGAAGCTAGAAGAACAGTAAAGCACGTCCTTAACTGCATGTGACATGTTTTTAAGCACCTTTTTCTACTGCTGTACAAATATTTGTCAGCCTGAATTTGAATGAGATCTTTCAATTCTTTCATAAGCAGAAAAGAAAAAGGAAAGCTTCATGACTTATTTATTACTATTTTTTGGTTTTGTTAAGTTCTGGTTAAGTTCTATTGTGGCAAGAAATGCATCTCATGCTATGCTCACATTGAGATGCAAAAGTGAGACACTGTCATGAAGTTAGTATATTTTGTCACCAGTCAAAAGTTAAAATAAGCCCTATTGTCCTGTCAGGCTATGACTACACTTGTTCTGTACTTTGTGGAGTGAAATTATATTATTTCATGTATTTATTTTCTTCATCACATAGTTACAGTAACATGGAAAACTGAATTATATACTGGTGGTTTTCAGGTAACAACAACATGTTTTAATTGTATAGTAACTGGGGAATGGCACAGGTTACATGAAGGACACACTATATGTACCTTTTTCCAGCTTCACTCTTATTTTCTTCTTCAACATCAGGCACTCCATCTGCAAGCTGTAACTGTGAAGATATTCAAAAGTTATTTTCAGGTACAACAAAGCACTACTAAGGCTGTTATACTTTACAGACTTAAAACTGTTAGAGATCATTGCAAGGCATGGTAAGACAGCCTTAACTGTAAAAACTGTTATTTGGTGTGTAGGATTATTCCTACCACATCTTTGTTAATGAACAGACTGGTTTATACACTGTGTTCTTTAAAATAGTGATTGTTAACTGGAAAAAAAGACAGTGTGACTGTCTTCACTTCTCTTTGCTCCCATGATAATCTCAGCAATTTTTATGCCCACTGCCCAACTTTAACTGTGCCTGACAGATGGGTAGAACACCATAAAAGTTATTCCAACAAGTTTAATGAAATTTAAAACTGCACTGAGGAGGAATTTAAGCCTTTTTCTCAGCTCTACGCAATCGTGGACAGTTAAAAAATCCCCAACGATATGGAGAAAAAAGACAGCACAAAACATATTTGGAGGAGAGAATCTGAAAAGACTAATTCAGAATGAAGTCAGAGAATCCCGGCTTCACAAAGTAACTTAGGACTTCATATTCTATTACAAATTGATTACAGCCAAAGAACTAGAGATGACTATGTTCTCATTGGATTTCCAAACTTTATTTTACCACTTCCTGAATAGTTTTGCATTTTCTCCATGCGTAGTTTTTGCCCTTCTCACAGGATTATTAACTGGAAAAACCATCACAAAAGCATAATCTGAAAATCTCCCCGGATGGTAGAATACCTGCAATAAGGGTTCTGCCATCGCATTCCCCCTGCAGGTGTGCACTGCTATTTTCTATCCACATACAGAACAGGTTTAGGTAAGGCTTAGTATGCATCTTGTGGTTTAAGTTTGTGTGGGGTGAGATTATTTGTACATATTTTCTACTGTCCAACACAGCACAGAAAAGGAAGCACTAGGACGCTGATTTTATAAAGCCACAAAGCTATGAAATAATCCAAATGGGACTGACCTGGTAATACTGCAACAAGTACCCCACCTTCAGCAAACCTTACAATTTGACAGACCCTTTTTGTCTCTCCAAAAGATCAGCAAACAAAACGGCACTGTTAACTTTGTGAATTGCATGTTAGCTGCCCCAATTACATTTGCTGAAGGAAAGTTTTCTCTTCTTTTAAACAACTTTTTGCGTAAAGGGAAACTGATTCTCTGCTGTTTGATTAACTTCCCAATTACTCACCAATTTTAACCCTGTGAATTTTACAGTTTAACTTATCCTGTTAAAACCACTAGCCATTCCTGGAGTAGTGGAAAACAGTAAAGCAACAACTTATGAGTGGCAGAGAGATGTAAATTCCAAGTAATTATCAAAGAAACAAATAATATAAAACTTCAGTAAATCTTAAAAGACCTAGACTTATTATCTAGAGGAGGGAAGACAGAGAAAGGTCAGATAAAGTCAGTAAGCACGAAAATTATTCCCTCTGAACAGCCAGAAATCTGTATGTTAAAGGCCTTTCTGCCCAAGTAACGAAGCCCAGAATGATTTTTTTTTGATGCATGATGGCTGTGCAGCTCCCCAGCTTTCCAACATTGCCCCATCCTTCTGATACTGAGAGGCATTTAACAGCAACATTTAAAATTAGGTATGTTATGTAAAAATGTCATACATGCAAAGCAGTACTCATAGGAGTACACTGGAACAGTAATTTTCATACCATTGGGAATTCAATATCAGTTGTTACTGCAACAACTGATGTAATAATATTCTGTTTCACTTCCAATTTGAAGCTTAATTGACAATTAAAAAAAAAGTCAAGTTCTGTTAAATGAAGATTACATTGCCAATACACAGTCATCTACTAAATGTTAATATTCTTTTTATTTCAGGAAATTTAAGATTTTGTTGATAAAACAGCATTAGTAATTAAAATTATCCAATTATGTGGATTGTAATTTCTTAAACTATTTAAGCAGAGAAAGCATAATTTCTCAGTACCTTTTCATCCACATCCAAACTTGTCAAAAGTTCATCTAGTTTGCTCTGTTGCCTATCTTCAAGAAAGTCCTCACTAACATCTCCTGAAGGACTGCTTCCTCTGGAGGAGTTGTGGGTCTTCACATCTTCAGCTGAAAATGTATAAACGCATTGCTTTATGTGTTTCCCATGCTACAAGACAACAAAGCTTTTATTTCCTAAATACTACAAAGGCTTAGAACTAATGATATTTAAGAACTCCTAGGACCCTCTAAATGTGAAATTTATGGAAAAATATTTCATGCTTAAGGCAGGAATCATTCCAAATAAATATTAGGCCGAATCTGCAATTAAAGTTCTATCCAAGCACTATGTTCTTTAATGGTCCCTGTTGAACAGTAGAACACATTTACTTACAGAATATTGAATTCAAACTCAGTTAAGCTGTTTTATTAAAACACAGCCAAAGATATGTGTGGCAATTTGCTAAGCAAAAAGACTTCGCCTTTGTTACAAAAGGGCAAAAGTTAATCACACTGACATGATGCAACACTGAAGTAAATATAGAAAGCTCTGAGAAACTCCAAATTCCTGTGATATAGTAAACTCAGTAAGAATTCAGTGTCAGGAAATTTCAGCACCTTTAGCAGATGCCACAGGAAATCAATGACACATCTGGCTGTAACGTTCTGAAAGGGCTGTTTAAGCACAACAGAAGAGTTCTGCATAGGAAAGAAATTCACTACTGGATCACACAAATGACTTCCAACTGCACTGTGCTGTCCAGACACAGGAAGAAAGAATCAGATTAGTATTGGAAAGGCTTTTCTCTTACAGTCCCTGGTCTCTACGATCACCAAGTACAAGACACATCTGGCTGAAGACAACATACACAAGATTTCCACTCGAAAGGTGAAGAGGATTGATGTCATCCAGAATATTTTAACTGTGGTACTTTTTCCACTTCTTAAACGGTGAAGCCACTAAGGCAAGGAGCCATGACTTCACTAATGTAACACAGGACACCAAAGCAGTAACACCTATTTCTAAATAAATACATAAATAGTCAGTAATTAGCAAAACCAGGCACCCTTCTTTTGTTCTGTGCAGGTTTTTTTAAAAGTCATGTATTAAACAGTAAGTTACTGTGTGCATATTCATCTAAGATTATGATGGGATCCTGCTTCTCAGATCTGGGAAGGACTTTAGGTACCACAAAAAGAACCAAAAACTTTCAGCCTCAAAGTCTGCTAGAACATGAAGTAAAACAACAAAGAACACGCAGAAGTTACTGAATAGTACAAAATTTTTTGCCAGGTTTGGCTTCAATCACCTCAGCATTGCAGATTCCACAGCCCAGGCCCCAATCTCTTTACATGACCACAGGCACAACTGCGAACTCCCTCCTGACTCCTCCTCAGGGAACTTGCTTCTTGGTATCTGAGCTCTTAAAACCTTTTATTTTGCCTTCTAATACCTGAAGCCTGAGATCTTCTCTTCCCCTACTAGTCTCCAGTCACTCCTTTCCAGGAGGCAGTATCTGCTGAAATCACTCTGTACGTGAACATAACACATTATTGTGAAAAACCAGCACAAGAGGTACTGCCACAGACATCTTTCAAGCCTAAAGCAAAATCAACATGTAATGTCAGAACGTCAGATTAACAACAAGCTGACAAACTGATAACAGAAGGGAAACACCATGAACCTCCAAAACCAGTCTCAGCACTCTGTATGTTCATCACTGTCAGTAAAGGGCTTCTATCCAAAGTCAAAATCCTGTTCTTCCAATCTATCTATAGCAGAAACTTCTATATTAGGTATACCTTGGTATACCAGCAGGAAACAAAACAAATCACATTCATGTGCTGCCTAGCTGGACTGTTTAAAAATAGGAAGAAAATTTAAAAATAGGAAGATTTAAAAAAATCTTAAATTTAAATTTTAAATTTAAAAAATTTAAAAATAGGAAGATTAAAAAAAATTTTAAAAAAAATTTTAAAAATTTAAAAATAGGAAGAAAAACCCCACTAAATCAGAAGTAACCTTATTTCCTTAGAAAAAGGCATTCTTTAAAAACAAAACACTGTCTCAGTAGAATGGGCATAGCATCCACAAAAAAAAACCCTGAAAGGACAACCTGGAAATAAACCTACAAAATTCTGTGTGCTGATGAACACAAGAGAACAACCACCTCCAACTCTGACCTAAACTCCAAAGCACTATTACAGGACTCAGAGTCTTACTATGATTTCAACAACTAACAGAATTCTTTGCCTAAAACTGTCAGAGAAATATCAAAACCCACAGAATCACAACCAAATTTGAAAAAAACCCAACTCCAACCCACTAGTCCTACCAACAGATAAGTAATACAGAGAAGTACATGCTCCCTCCATGACTCGGGCTTGTGTCATTTTGAAAGATGCTGACTCAATATGCATGAGGAGACAAACTGCTGTAAAAATAAAAAGATAATACAAAACCAGACAAGTAGACAAGTTCTTTTTTGTTTGTTTTGTTTTTTTTCTTCTTTGGATTATATACCAAAAACTTCCAGAGACCCTTACCTTTTAACATCAAATTACAGGAGTTTTCAGTATCACTTGACTTTCCAGATTCTTCCATACATCTGTTTTGAACAAAAAGTGTACTTAAGATTTCCATCTTGCACAAAAGCAAAAATAATCTATCAGTTACATAAAATCAAAAGTTCTTAGTAATACTTTTAGCCATGGACAGAACAATTACAACCAATACACTGTTTTAAGACTCTTTTTAGCTTTCTCTTTTTGCTTCCTTATGTTCATCCCTTCAGATGTACACCTAAACATGTTAAGTAAAACCGAGACATTTCAAAACCCAAAATTTTCAATAAAAGCTTATGATCTCATTTAATCTTTGCCTAAAATACTGAGAAGGGAAATTTTCTCTGTATAGCAAAAAAAGAAAATATTGTGCTAATGAGCCAATTCATCAGTTTCTAAAAAAATGTGATTTACGGTAATTTTATATTCAAAATAATTTGCTTAACAATGAATCTCAAAGAGAGTAACAAAAACAACTGTTCATAGGAAGATACTTCACCTATTTCAAAGATAAGTTAGGGAAAAATAAATACTTATTAGAAAAGCTCAGGAGGGACAAATAGATATCTTAAATGTTACACATAGAATATATAAAACATGCTCACGATCATCACACATTTTAGAAGCCTGTACCTGGTGAATGACACCAAGTGTAATGACAGCAAGCTGTCCAGTGAAGGCAAGAGGAAGTGGCAAACAAAAGCATATGTGAAAAATTAGTTTTACTGCCACATTCAGGCTTCAGGCCAGAATGTTTTCCTTATGCCTGGAAGTGACCAGCATTCTTCTCTATGCAAAAAGCAAGCATCGGAGAAACAACCTGTGAAGTCCCAGTTGTATTTGGTAAAACTAAAAAAATCCCAAACAAACTCTCCAAGCCCTCCCCCCAAAAAACCTGGCCATGGTCTGGTATTATCTGGTAATATCATAAGTTACCCAACAAAACTTATTTCAATATTCTCATATTGAATAATAATAATAACAATACTACTACTACTACTACTACTACTACTACTACTACTACTATTCTCATATTGAATTATAATATTAATATGTTCCTGACTGCTATCAACTATGTGTAATCACCATCTAATAATCTGCATCAAATTATGGAAGGTAAAAAGTAAAACAAGAAATTTTGCCTGTTTTTTTAGCAAATCCAGGGGAAATTCTAAGAAAGAAGAACCATGCATTTTTATTTCCCTTGGCTAATGGCAAACAAATTCAACAGGAATCAGAAAGAAATGAATACTCCTTCTAATAAATTTACAATGCTACAGCCTAGCTGCTTCTCAAGAAGTGGCTGCTCTTACTACAGACTTGCCCTGTTCTCTAGAGGCTTGTTTTGGCAGAAATTGTATTCTGTTAACATTTAAAAGTTTTATATTCTCGTGTTCAAAAAAGTGTTCAGCACCTCAAAGAAGATTACTTTCCTCTTTTGCACATGGGTTTAATGAAAAGGAAAGGATAAGGAGAGCAGTGAGTTAAAAAAAAAAAAAAGAATGCAGCTATAAGATATAATCCTGAATGTAACTGAAGTGCTACTTAAAATAGAGGTAGCATAAGCCCACCTAGAAAGACCACACAAAAAAATTTAAAACACCCATCTCAATAAAAAACTAATCTTTGGAGGAAAATCTTGCATTATCTCTATTTAAACCTATTTTTTTTTCTTTGAAAAAAATGAAAAATTCAATCTTAAAACTTTTTTACTGAACACAAGTATCAAAGCTTAAGAGAGAAAACAGGCTAAACAATAGATGAGTTCATTCCATGAAGAACTACTGTCTCATTTACGAAAGTTAGGTTCCACTTTAAATTTCTTTTCCTCCTCCTATGACTTTTATTATCATCTGAAAACCCAGTAGAACATTTAACACCTAATGATTTACACCAGGAACTTGCTGAATGAAGATGCAGGATGATAAACCTCTGCAACACTTTAACCAAATCACATCCCTGAAAAATATTCACATGTCTGGGGATAGGAGAAAAAGAGGGAAGAAGAATGGCAGAACAGAACACTACTGTAGAGACAACCATTTACTCTTACAGACTCAAGAGAAGAACAACCTACACCTAAAAAGTAAAAACATTTCTAGTATAATACCACTTTACAACTAAGAAAACTTCCTTCAAAGGGCTAGCTGCTATCTCAAATCAAGAATATTAACTTTAATTATCTTTGTTTCTATTTTCATATTTCCCTTCATTCAAACAAGCACTTTAGGACTACCTTGTCCTACAATTCAGAGTTTATCCCAGATCTTATGAAGAACAAATTCATGTATCTGCATTCAGAATACTGTCATAGCTCTATCAAAATTAGACACTGAAAATCAAATAAAGAAATAATTTAAACAAAAATTAGTGGAATTCTCTAAGGAAGCCTGACAATTACAACCAAAGCATATGCACATGAGGTAAAAGTACTTGGGAATATTGTGATAAAAAAAGGAATGATATGCATACCTGAAACTACTTTCTACTGAATATTTATTTTCTGATGGAACAGGAGACTCAGGTTTAATATACACCTTTGTGTCTTTAATGCAGGATGCTCTCACTGGACAATTTTCACAGTGTGCAGGTGCAAGCTCCTCTTTATTACTGGTTCCAAAAAGGTCTGGGTCATCCTGAATCACATCAATGACAAGAACATCTTGGTTGTAAGCTTCAAGGACATCTGGTAAATTCTGACTTTTGACTTTTTGTGAAAAATTCCCTCTTGATTTTCTATCACCATTTATTGCTAATCCAACAAGGGGGTCGACTGCATTCCAAGAATGATCAGGAAAACTAGATTTCAGCACACACTCAGAACCACTGAAATCAGGCACAGATGGCTCTGGCTGCCCATCAAGAAGAGGATGTGGATATGTGGAGAAACTTTCAGGGAGCACAGACATCTCATCAGAGAGGTTTACAGAACCATTGTGCTGGAAGTCCTTACTATCAATCTCATCTGCTTTCTTCTGTATGGAAGCTGGAGATGCAGCATCACTCATGACAGGAAGAGGACCCTGCTCATATTTTACCAAGAAAGTCTCTTCACCTGTCTTCTGCCTTCCTGGACTAGTGCTTCCAAGAAGCTCTAGTGGACTACAAGTTTTGCTTTCAAATGAATGGACAGATTCCTGTTTCTTGGATTTAGGTTTGTTTCTGCATAAAGGAATTTTGAATTTTGTCAGGTTTCCAGAGGTTAATGGTTTAATTAGGTTTAAATCAGAAAATATCTGCTTCACTACTGATCCTTTAGGGCTGAAGTTTATACTGTTTGTGTTACTTGCAGAAGTACCATTCTGGACTGTCAGAGAGAGGTTTCTGTTTGTCACATCTCCTTCATTTTCATCCTTTTGTTTTGTTGTACCAGTTTGGACTGTCACAGGCAGCTTTCTGTTTGTCACATCTCCTTCATTTTTTCCCTTTTGTTTTGTTATACCATTCTGGACTGTCAGAGTCAGGTTTCTGTTTGTCACATCTCCTTCATTTTCATCCTTTTGTTTTGTTGTACCAGTTTGGACTGTTGCAGGTAGGTTTCTGTTTGTCACATCTTCATTTTTTTCCTTTCGTTTTGCTGTTCCATTCTGGACTGTTGCAGGCAGCTTTCTGTTTGTCACCTCTCCTTCATTTTTTCCCTTTTGTTTTGTTGTACCATTCTGGACTGTTGCAGGCAGCTTTCTGTTTGTCACCTCTCCTTCATTTTTATCCTTTTGTTTTGTTGTGCCATTTTGGACTGTCACAGACAGGTCTCTATTTCTCACAACTCCTTCATCTTTATCTTCTTGTTTTATTGTACCGTTCTGGACTGTCACAGACACATTTCCTTCTGTTATATCTCCTTCATCTTCATCTTCTTGTTCTGCTGCAAAATTCAAGGTTGCTCTAACTTCTTGCACATTATCACGTTTAAAAGCCACGGCATTTTTATCTGTATTGACTGGTGATTCCCCATTTTCACTGTTCATTGTCAAAGTCTCATAAATATCCACAGAAGAGGATTCCATTGTTTCATGTGAAGCCTGACAGTCAATATTTGGATCAATCTTTTTATGTGTAATTTCTTTTGTAATTTCTGCCAATGATGTATGCAAATCCAGCTGTCTCACATTCACAATCTCTGCACTACGTTCCACAGCTTTAACACTGCTTTTATCAGAGGAATCCTCAAAAGCAGCCTTTAAAAGTCTTTTTCCTTCTGAGACGAACCTATGACTTTTAAGAAACCATTCAGAAGTCCTTGCACAAGATTCAACAGGCCAAACTTTTTTACCAGTCATGGGTATTGTTCTTTGACAGGTAAACTGCTGCAATTTCTTAGTAACTTTGTTCAAATTTCTTCCTGCCTTGCTTTTGTGGTGATCAGAAACATCATGGATCTGAGCTAGTGCTCCACGGCAATCTGAGGCAGCTGCATAACGTGCCACATTGCTTGAATTTTCTCCTTTTACTATTGCAGAGAGCTCAGGTGTCATCTTAAAGCCAGTTTCAAATTCAAGTAATTTGGTACTATTCTTTCTCCAGGCTGATACAGTTTTTACTTCCTGAGTATTTTTTTCTGTATCAAAATCTGATGTATGACCACACGAAGCTGAGAAAGTATGATTTAGTCCTGAAACTGAAAATGAGCTTGACATGGTAACTGCTGCTTCTGTTTGTAACTCACACTTCTTGCATTTACTAGCCATGTCTGCAGATTTCTCAGTGATTTTCATCTTTTTTCTAGGCTTTCTACCAATATTCCACTTTTTTCCCCTTAAACACTTGCTGCTTTCACTCAGGCAGCCTGAAACACAACCTTCTTCATTTTCATTCTTTTCTTTATTAGGTGAAAAACCACCTTTTATGAGTGATCTCTCATTCTGCATTCTACTAGTGCTGCAAATTCTATCACTCAGCTCTCCAGTACCATGGGCTACATGGAAGAATCCATTTAATTTATAACTGTTGGTAGTTCCACTAGCTGAAGGCTTCACTAACGTGTTGATGTAACAACAGTCCTGTAACACCACCAATGGATTCTTTCCAGCTGCACAGAACAAGCCACTGCAATGGTTTAGGGCATTAGTGCCACGTTCAGCACCACATTTTGCAGACACATTCATCACTTCTTCAGCTGCAGTCACACTTGAACTTTGCAAGCGCTTGATTTTACCAGATCTGTGTTGCCTTTTTCTACGCTGCACACCAGGCTCTTCTGTTACAGCATGGCATAGAAAGCTCTTGCTTTCAGTGTCATCTGTAGCAGAAACTGTAGAAGGTTTAGAATAGTGAGATTCCTTTTCCTTAGAATCTTCTACCCTGTTTTGCTTTGTCTTAACCTTCTTTACAGCCTGTGAATTACCAGAGTCTTGCTCAATTGCTTTCCACTGCTCCTCTGCTGATTAAAAAAACAAAGAAATGTCATTAAAGAAAACTCTAAGAGAAAAAGACTATTTTATAAAGAGAATCAAAACCCCCAAACATTAAAGGCTGCTAAAGAACATGACACTATATAAGGCTAAAATATTTCAGTGAAGTTTTATGACTTTTTTTTTAAATGAAAGCTATTAGGACACTTAAGAGTAAAAAAGATGTATTACCTTCAGGAACAAATGCAAAGAGGAGCAGAACTGTACAGTGTCATAAGGACACTGGAAGTTGTGTATTTGTTGTGTACTCCACACAAGTGGAAAATAAATAAGAGCAAATCTGGCAAGAAAACGCAGATGCTGTTTACATGCTCAGCCTTTAAATCTTTTGTTTGCACAGTATATTCTCTGTAGTAGGAACACTAATTTGTAAGAACATCTTTCAGATACACAGTCCAATCAAATGCATTTGATTGATCAAGAAGATCCAGAAAAATTGAAGGACCTGCATTTTTAGAGACTACTACTTCTTATTTAAAAGCAAATACAGATTATGTAAAAAACTGTATATCTGAAAATCTAGAGAATGGGCTCAAGAGCATACTAGTACAATGCTGGTTTTTTTAGACCTTTGTTTTCAAGGTAAAACACAATGTTAATATCTGTCTTTCAGAATATGTTTTTTAGATAAAATATTATTAATCTACAGTAAGTATATGTCATTTGAATGTATTCACATCAAAAGCAATGTTTTTAGACAACATCCCGAAAAAAAAAAGACTTGAAAAACCCCTCTTTCAAAATTGTTCCAGTTTGACTCAACATTCTCTTAAAACATCAAAACACAATCATTGCTTCTACATCTTTTGGGATTTTTCATAAAACAGAAACTAAAAAGTCCTGAGAGCAAACCCCAGCATCCTATAAAGGCAGACACTGTTAAGAAGACAGCATCATACATAATCAAAAATAAACAGATAATAGACAGATGAAAGAGGACTTGACTGTCTTTTATTCTGGCACTGCTGAAACTACTGCCCCCTTTTTTGCTTGTGGCTGACCACCTCTGAAGAAAGGTGGGGAATGCTTTTGAGAGAAACAAATTCCCAGCACTCCCCACCAACGGCCTGCCTGTTTCTGTCCATATCCCTTCCTCTCTCCCTTCCTTTCCCCTTTCTCTACCCCCCAAAAGGCTAACTGGTCTCCTCTCCTTGGTGTTAAACAGGCTTCTTTTCTCCTTCAGGAAAAGCCTTTCCTCTTTCTGAAAATCTGTTGTCTTCTAAGACTGGTGGTATTCACAGTACTGTGAAACACACCCTAGCTTTTCTCAAATTAAGTCAGCAGCCAGTTTTTAAAAGGGTCTTACTTCAGGACCAATTTGGGAGCACAAATTCTGTACCTGTACTTCTACAATGGAGCTACCAGTGCTTACCACTTTCCCCTGGGCTGTCTGGTCGTTTCTGAGGGCTTGAGCTCTGCTGCTCTTCTTTCATGCAATGCTTCTGAGTCTTTCTTCTTCTGGTGGTTGGTTGTTCTTGTCCACTCAGATCCTGCAGCTGCTGTGACAGCAAGGCATTTCTGTTCCTCTTACTCAGAGCTCCTTTTCTGGACTCTGGACACTGGGTATGCTGTTTTAGCAAGGCAGAACTACCCCTCTCCTTGGGACCATGTACTTTTGGTTTCCTCACTGATCTCCTGCCTTTCTTGCCCAAGCATCTCCCTTCTTTTTCCTGCGTCCCTAGTGTTCTTGATCCAACTAATGGACACCCATTCAACTTCTCTAGTATAAAAACCTCTTCCTGAGGTTTTAGTTCAGGGACAACTTCCTGAGCACCCAAATTCTTCCTAAAATCTGGGATTTGCATATTCTGCGTCATTGTACAGTCAGTACATTGCACTTTAGTACTCCACGTGACATTTTTGGGTTGAAGAACTTCTGGTTCTGGAAAACAGGATATTCCATGTCTCTCTGTGCTCTCAATTCCCCTCTTCAAGTTTGGGACTTGCAATTTTACTTCCATACAGGAATGTTTGCCTTCTGTTCCTGAGCTCCCTGAACCCTTGTGGAAACCTGAGAAGTTCAGGTCTTCTGAGCAATGTTCATTCCTTTCAATCCCTGCTGAGAACTTTTTCTGCAAAGTAGTTCCTGAAAAAAACAGCTGTTGGCTTTGACCTGTCCCTCTCAGAGTCTCTTCCCAGCACATTGCTGCAGCCGTGGCTGCTGCTTGCCAATCTTCGCACTCATCTGTGTCTGAAATTAGTGAAGCTACACCCTTGCTTCTTCGGGGAGACTTCCTGTGCTGGTTTCCCTTGGTTTTTCTACCTGGGAATTTCTGTCTGTTCTCACCTTGCTCCTTCTGCATGGCCACAGGAAAAGCAAAACACTTAAAGGAAGTGGGAGAGAGCGTGACAGGTTGTGGAAAGAAAGGTAAGGGCTGCTCAGGCTTTCTCTTTGGTGCCAGGCGACGACCCCGCTTGACCACCAGCTTTCCCTCTGGCTCACGCCCTGCCTGCGGAGAGCCGGGGCTGCTGACCTCGGGGTCAACCAGCTCCACCTCGCCGGGTCTCACCACCTTCCCTGACCTCAACTGCGGCATCTCGGTGGCGCAGAGACGGCAACAGAGCCCACAAACCCCGCTCGCCAGCGCGGCTTCCGCCGCAGCCACGCTAGCTCGGCACCCACGACGGCTGCAGGCCCGAGCGGGGAGCGGGGGCCAGCCCCTCCCAGACTGCCGCCTCCGGGGACTGCCGGCGGAGCCCAGGCCGCCCAGAGAAAAACCACGGCCACCGACAAGCCCTTCCTGACACCCTCACTGCCCCGGCCCCCAAACACACACCCGAGGCAACCTCTCACAGACCATGGCATTGAAGGAAGCGGCCCCGCACCTCTCCAAACTGAAGAAGGCCGCTGCCTGCAGCCTCCCGCGCCTCCTTCCCACCCTCTCCCCTTCACTATTTGCCCTCGTCTACCGATCCGCTCCCCTCGTCCAAGCACAGCTGCTCGCCCAAAGAGCCGAGCTGCCGCCACGCCGGCGGGCGATGGTGATGCGGCGGCGTGAGGGCGGCTCCGCGGCGCGGCGAGGCGGGAGCGGCGGGAACACCCGCCTGGCCGCTCTCGCTCTCTCGCCGGATCGGCTGGGCCGCCTGCGCGGTCCAACCCCGGCAATGGGGGTGGCGAGCGCGGCTCCTCCGGGCGGCCGTGCCCCCGTGTCGGCAGCCCTCGGCCAAGCGCTTTGGTTGGCGCTGCGCAGCCGTCGTGCTGCCCCCGTGGTGCTCGAAGCGCCTTGCGGGGCTGCGGGCCCGGCCGCGGGCTCAGGGCCGCCCAAGAGACCGGGCTGCGGTGTAGAACTGCCAGAGCCTGGGAGCAAAGGCCCAACTCGGCCCTAGGTCGGAGTCGTGTGGGTAAACACCCAGGCTCGCCCATTTCGTCGGGTGTTCCATCCCCCTCAGTGATTCCTTCTTCGAGCACAGCGCTAAAGAAGCTCGCCAACACTGAGGGGCCCTGCCGTTGTTTCACAGAATGGGTCAGGTTGGGAGGGACCGCAGTGGGGTCCCCTTGTCCAACCTCCCTGCTCAAGCAGGGCCATCCCAGAGCACATGGCACAGGATTGTGTCCAGGCAGTTTTTGAATATGTCCAGTGAGGGAGACTCCGTAGTGTCTCAGGGCAACCTGTTCCAGTGCTTGGTTATCTGCACAGTAAAGCTGTTCTTCCTCACATTCCAGCAGAGCTTCTGTGCGTCACTCTCTGGCTGTTGCCTCTTGTCCTATTGTTGAGCACCACCAAGAAGAGCCTGGCTCCATTGGCAGCCACATTTACATGCTGGCAGACATTGATGAGGCCCCCTTTCAGCCATCTCTTCTGGAGGCTGAACAGGCCCAGCTCTTTCAGCTTTCCCTTTTATGTTCCAGTTCTGTGATCAGCTTTAAAGCTCTCCACCGGACCTGCTCTAAGAGCTCCATGAGTCTCTTGTTCTGAGGACATCAGCTTTGTATTTCAAATAATACAGCTTCTTAGGACTTGAGTGAGGGGGAGAAGATCACTCAAAAAGACGGTATTGTCAGAAAACAATAGAAGTTGGTGTTTGGGCTTTGAATGGGGTGGTAGATTCAACACAGGTGGAGAACACCAAAGCTTCAGAACCATACACTGCATGATAATGTGAACATGTAGAAGTTAGCTTAAAAAAAAGTTGAAGAAAGACTGAATCTAAGTGGCAGGTGTTATGAAAATCCCGAATTATTAAACTTAATAAGGTGGTAGTCTAATGCCAATAATGCCATCAGCAAAATTGCACATGGCTGCTAAATGAGCGTGTCCTACAAGCAGTCTCCTTGCGTTTGCCTCAGCTGGTCTCTGAGGGATGAAACACCTTATTCAAATTCATTTTACTGTGACTTAGTGCTTTCTGGTGTACACATTTCATACATCCTAGTTTGAGATCCATGCAAAGAAATAAGGTGCTTTATGTCACAACTTGCGAGAAGTGCAGTCCTGTGAAGTTAAAAGAGTAGTTGGAAAGGTGTGTTTTACTAATTGGCATTGGCTCACTGTATGACTTCAGCCCACGTAACTCCCTTCATCTCTATTTCTTCCCCCAGAGGTAGAAATAATACATTTCAGTCCAAATAAAGAAAGAGAATGTTGCATTTTTGCCAAAATCTCTCCATAGATGAAGAAAGAGCAACAGGGAGGCTGGGAAATTGTTAACTTTAATTTTCTTATGGTATTTTTAGGTTGTACATACATGCTTAAGTACAAAAAGTCAGCAAATGGCTAACTAAAGCTAATAAAAGCAGAAAATACAGATCTCTTAGGCATTTTCTCCCATGGCTCAGTATTGTGCTTCTAGTCCTTGGCACAGAAAGGACCCAATAAAAGGGAAATAACTGCACAATATTTATTTTATCATTGTCAGTGTTCTGCAAGGCTGGTATTACATAAAACATTCAGCTCTGGTGAAATCTAGCCATTTAACCTCTCATTCAAACCTTCTTCAGTGAGTAACAGAGTCTTTTAAGTTTTATAGCAAGATGAAGACATGCTGAAAAGCAGTAGTAAAGGAAATCTGGGAAAATGGCATATGAATTACCTTACTGCTAGCTCTAATTTTTAGGATGTTAGTATTTAGTCAGTTATTTGCAATTATGAGAACTCTCCTCAGACCAGATTTTTATGAAATGAATAAAAATCTACTTGAAATGAATACTAATTAAAGGCATTCTTCATTAAAGTACTTTGAAAAAAGCACTAGAGCTTCAGAAAGGACATTTTGAAGCAGCTGTGGATTATGTTAAAAAACAGCTTGCATTCAGTTTACAATACTGCTAAAAAGAGGTAGTATAAACATTGTCTTGCAAAGTGGATCAATTTAACCATCTTTTAAAAATACTTGAAAGATAAGAGAATTTTAATATATAGGCATATTTTAGAAATCCTGTGTCAAGTGTTTATTAAAACTGTGGGTTGTTAAAGTGGAAAAAACTTTGACAAAATCATATAAACAGTTTATGGATGAAAAATTAGTTATTTTCACATTCCAACATTTGAATTACTAATATTGCAAGGAAATGTTTAAACTTTATTTTTAAATGATATCTTGTTTAGAAATAAAGATAAATGCTTGTTCTTCTTGAGTTTTATAGTTATCTATCTCAGTGCCATATCTAAATTTTAGAACTAATTCAAGTTTTGCTGATCTATTGCTTTGTTTCACTGATTTCTTGTTCATTCTAGACACTTCATACAGTCATAGAAAGATGAGGTACCAGGTGTCTGAAAGTAAAAAGGCAATTGTGGTGCCCAAAATATTTTTCCACCAGAATTGCCAGTATACTTAGAGATGCCTGGCAATTTTCAAGTGGGAAAAAGGAGCTTGTGTGACTACATTTATGTAAAACCCATAAAATTTTTTCTTGTATTTTTTTTTTTTCCTCAGAGGAGTGTATGCACTTATCTCTCCAGCTGATGTAATATACATTGCTGCTGTGGAGAAATTGTGGCTGCAGATCTAACAATGATACATTTGAGCAATCTTCCAAAAGTTTTTGAAAGATTGAAATTTATAAACACATAATCCAGCTACATAGGTGAGATGATCGTATCAATTTTTTATTGGGCTGTATTTTAGACTTTGCTAATATACTCACCTAGCAACAGGAATTAAGCTGTCTTTATTTTAGCTAGGGAACTGGAAAGAATTAACTTGAAAATGAACCTTTTTTCAGTGAAGCAATGTGAAAAATGTCCCCTTGGACCACTTCTTTTTACACTGCTCGCATCTTTATGCTTGGCTGAGGGATAGAGTTGTTATCTCTAGCAAACCATGGTGAAAAGAGTTTGGCTGTGCTGTAATAACTGAGGCTGAGCTCTGAAGAGTATGTCTAGTCTGTTGCATTCTTAAAACATGCCAAATTATGCCCTTGAGTGATACAACTGAAGAGAAAAAGAGTTTCAGTCTAGTATGTCAAAGAAACTCTCCTTTTATAGCCCCAAGGATTTATTATTATTATTTATTATTAATTCTGAGCTATTTGTTTTGCTAAGTTAGAACCTAAGGTAGTAGATATTGATATGATTTTAAGTAACTTCTTTACCCCTTGTTTTCTATTCAAATACATGGGTGCCTTGGAAATAGGTGTATTGATAAACTCTTGAAGTAAGAATTTGCTTTTTCTTTCAAGCCATTAATGTATATCCCTCTAAAATTGCTTTGGCTTTTCACTTCCAGGCTCTTGAGTCAGGAGCCACCTTTGATTTGGCATCTAATGAGAATGCTGCCAACTACCCATGTACTGGGTTTGGGGTACAATGTTCATGATCAGCTCATGTCCTTGGTGTCTCCCCTGTGCAGGTGTTGACCCCCCTCATACTGAGAGCTGTTTCCTTGTCTGCCCTGACACTGTGAACTCCATTGGACAAGGGCCACTAGGGTGGTGAGAGTAAAGATACCTTGGTGGAAATATGTGATCTGTTTTGTGAAATTGCCGAGTGATTACACTACATGGCAGAGTAGGTGAATCCACTGAGTAGCTGGATACCCCAACCTTTATTTTCATGTCTGTTTTTATTATAGAGCTGTACAGGACAGATTAAAGTAACTTCATTTTCCACCAGTTTAAAATGAGTCATTGGAGGAAAAAGGACAGCTGCTATATTTTGTAATGAACCATCTGGCATTTCTTGGTAGATCCTCTGATTCCTAATTTGCTACTGAATTGTGACAGCATGAAAATCAAAATTATTGATTGTATGGAATCAGTATTTCCCTCTGGCAATTCTGTTTCTTTCAAAGGGTAGTCATAGGAGGGAAAAGGACCTCTCACACTGGGTTTTGCAAGCCTTGAAAGTCATCTGTATAAGTTGCCTTTTTTTTTTTTTTTTTTTTTTTTTTTTGTAATTATGCTGCTTTATATTTATTCTGGAACCCTGATTTCCGGATGATCACATCCAATCTGAACCTTACAGAAGGTGCAGTAATCAGTTTTAAGGTTCCACTAGGGAACTCCCATGTAAAGTTTGTATTCTGTTTTACTCCCTTGCATTCATGTACCTTTAAATGTTTAAGAATAAACTAGCTAACTTCCTGGAATTAGAAA